GGAAAGGGGAGGATTCAATGGATTTTTTAAAGATGTTTCAATGATTGTGATATACTTGGACGCTTTTTTTTTATATAAAGGGTGGAAGGTATTTAAATTTTCCCCGCTTGTTTTTTTGGGGCGTTATAAAAGGGAGACTCTTGGGGTTTTCGGAGTAGGAACAGTGTGTTCGGTATTGCCCGTGAGGGAGTCATTTTGGGGTATTGAGTTGGGATTTTTTTGGAAGGTTTTTCCTATAGTGGAAAGAAATCATTTTGTTGTTTGGTTTCTGTTGGGGGAGTTGGGGGGTTTATCTATTTTGCTAATTTTTTTTTCGCTATGTGTGATATCTTTTTTTTTTTCAGAATTTCGATAGGGGGCTTCCAGGGCTTTTTTATACACCCGTTAAATTGGTAATTGTTTCATCAACAATTTTTTTTTGCCCTTTTATCAGGTGGTTGGGTTGCAATAAGTTTTGTTTGGTTTGGTTTTGTGACCCATTCTGTACTGTTTTATATTGGTGTTTTGTATTTATGGATTTGAGAATGCGGGGTTTGCCAGGGACGTTCAGTCTCTTGCTGTCATCTGTTTAGTTTTTTTAGGGGGTGTTGTTATAAAAGGGATTGGGTCTTTTTTTGAAAATTATTAAAAAAATTCCTCAATTCTTATAGATTTCTAGCTCAGTGTGCCCGTCAAAGTTTTTTACTGCTGTTGTGAAGTTATTAAAGGCGCCTCATTGTGAAGTCGAAGGGACTTTAGTAGTGCCTTGGGGTATTTTCAAGAGTTGTTATGAGGAAAATAGGGGAGGGTCTGTGGTATTATCTGTAATTTTGCTGATTTTTAAAAGGGGTTGGGGTTTGGGCCAGATGTGGTAAGTAGGAAACACTAGTCTCTGTAACTCTTGTAGGTTTTGTATGTTGGTAGCAACATCAGTTACTCTTATGTTTGTGAATTCAGTAAAAGTGTGGGGCCCCGGTCTTGCAGGGATTTTATTGAAGTCACCTGAGAGTGTAAGTGATCTTTTTTTCATGCGTGCATCAATATATACTTCCCAGGTTTTGTAAAATTTGGTAATGTTTGATTGTGGAACTCTGTAGATGTTTTTCACTGTGAGAGGTTTTTTTAGGATTTGGATTTGAATTTAGTATTATTATCCCATGTTTTCCTTTTGCAAGTATTTGGTACATTAATTGGTTGAGTAGTATATAGCAGTGCCACCCCCCTTTTTGGTCTGGCCTACGTTGTGTATGGCTGTTAACCCGGGAAAGCATGACATCTGTAGTATAGGCTTTAGCCAGATTTCATTAGTGAATGATGGAATTTGGGATGCAAAAGGGAAATTTTGTAATGCTGGAGGTATTTAATGCTTGCTTAAAGATCTGATATTGTAGTTAAAGATAGTTTTTGTTGTTGTTGGCCTTTGGGAAATCCTTTTATTGTTTGCGTGGGTAATTTCGTAACTGTTTGAATCATTTAAGTCATTTAAAAAAGAGGTTAGATCGGATCAAAGCTTGTAAACATAAGATTTTTAGTGAACTATAGTTGAATTAAGTATAAAAAAAGTAAAAAATTCTAAAGCTAAAAAAAACCTGAATTATTTAACAAATGTAAAAATAATGAGTAAGGGGAGTTTTTTAAAAACTAAAATAAAGGAGACAAAATAAAAGGGACTAAAAAAATTTGTGGGGGAAACAATAAAGTGATGATCAAAAAATGGAGCTTGGGAATATTTTGAGGTAGTACTTAAAGGTAATTCTTTAAAGTGAGAGAGTTTTTGTGGTGGGGGGACTTAAAATGCTAAAGTGGGAAAATTTTTTAGGAGGGTGGGTAGGAATTTTTGGGGTGCCAGGGTTAATGATAAGGGACCCTTGATTAAAATTTGTATAAAAAGGGGGTTTAGTTAAGGTAATACAATTTTAAAAAAAAGGGGATAAATAAGATACACGAATGGTGGGCGAAATGACAGTATTTTGTTGGATTATGTATTGGTAGATAAAAACTTTTTGATAGACTCAGGATGTCATGTTTATAGGGGGGCCAAATATATAAATCCTTTCTAGTTGAAGTACACTGAGAGTAAAAGGGGAGGGGATACAAGGAGAATAGAAGCATCAGGGAAGAGAGGGTGAAGGTTTTAAACTAAAAGAGGGGGCAGTTAGGGTAAGATAAAACAGCTATTGGAGGATAGAGGGGCAATGAACATAGGCAAGGGTCAAAGAGGTATGGGTGGGTTTTAAAAATGTGTGTTAGGAGTGTTCAGCAGAAGTTTGGGTTACAGGAAAGTGGGTGCGGAGGGAAGGGGAGCGATTGGTGGAATGATGATGTAAAGAGAGTGAAGGGAAAAAAGTTAGCAATAAAGAATTTTTACAAGTAGAAGTGATGAAGGAGGGAAAGTAAGGGAGAAAAAGAGAGAAGTTAAGAAGTGGTGAAGAAATGTAAAAAGAGAGCAAAGGGAAGAGGGGTGAGATTTATCAACAAATTTTGTTGAAAATAAGAAAAAGTTTTGGATGAGATTAAAAAGTTAAGAAAGCCTAAGAACAAGGGATTTGTCAGTTAAAAATAGGAGGGAGAGTTATTAAATGGAGAGTTAGGGGTTTTGGGGGAAGATGGAAGGAATATTTTGGGGAAATTTTTAAATGTTGATGAAGATAGGGAAGCTGTGATTTCGTGAAAGGGGCAAGAGGAATAACTCTTTTGGGAGTGGGAAGAGCCATTTTTGTGAGTGGGGGGGAAAATTCGTGAGGCAGTGGGTAAAATGAAAAGGGGGAAAGGCACCCGGTTTTGATGGGATAAAGATAAAATTTTAAAAGCAGGGGGGGAATATAGTTTTGGAGGGGTTGGTGCAATTTTTTAATAAATGTATGGAAAAAGGTAAGGACCGGATTGGCAGAGAGCATGCATATTTCCCTTTTGTATAAAGGCAAAGGGGATAAAAGAGAGGCAAAATTATAGGGGGATAAGTCTGTTGAGTGTACCTGGTAAAGTGTATGGTAGAGTTATAATTGAAAGAATTTAAAAGTAAGACGGAAATAGGATAGCGATGAACAAGGAGGCTTTAGGAAAGGTAGGGGGTGTGGGGACCAGGGTTTACAGTGAAAATAAAGTGAACGTATTTGAAAGGCTAAAAAGGGCTTTGTGGCATTTATGGGTTTGGAAAAAGGGGTATGGGCAGGGGAATAGGGGGGCAAAGTGGCAAAGTTGAAGTGTATGGTGAGGGGGTAGGGTTACGAAAGCATGAAGATTTTTACGAGGATAGTGAGGCTCAAGTTAGAGTATTAGGAAAGAGGAAAATTTTTTTCCCAGTAAAAGTACCCTTTAAGCAAGGATGTGTGATGCACCGGGGTTGTTTAATATATTTATGAGGGGGTTGAAGAGAATAAATGCGAGGGTCTTGGAAAGAGGCGTGGAGTAAAAGATAAAGAATCACACAAAAAGGGGAGTTGTCCGCTCTCTTTCTGATACACTGTCCCTTTTGGGAGTTTTCCCTGAGAGAATTCAGAGTTTGGGGGATGAAATTTTTTGGGGTGTGCAAAAAAAAAATTTAAAAGGTGAATACAGGAAAAGAAAGGTTATGAGGATAACAAAAAGATTGGGGAAAGAAAGATTGAATACAGATTGGGGGGAGAGAGATGGAGGAGGGAACTATTCAGATTTTTGGGGAGTGGACGGTCAGCAGATGGGTCAGAAAGACGAGGTGAATCTAAAATTATGGGGGAAAAAGAGTGAGTGGTGCACTTAGGATCTGTGGAGCAAAGAATTTTTTCCTTGAGGCAAGAGGGGAATGTATGAAGTATAGTTTTACCAACGCTTTTATTGGGTGTGAAGCGTGGGTGATGAATGTTGCAGCGAGGAGAAGGCTGGGGGCATGGAGATGTCATGTCTGAGGGCAATGGTGGGTAAAATTAAATGCAGAGAATTCTATTTTGGGAAATTAGGAGGGGGTGGGGTTACCAAAACTTTTGTCCGAGGGCTGGGGAAAGGGGTTGTTGGGGGGTTCGGACATGTAGAGAGAAATGGAGGAAACAGAATGATTTTCAAAGTGTATCACTGAGGGGAAGGGAAGGCGGGTAGGGTGGGCCTGGGAAGGGTTGGGGGGAGGGGGAAAGGGGGTTTTGTGGGGCGAGGGCTTGGATTTCCCACGGCTTGCTGAGGTTTTTGATGGGAGTGAATGGAGACAAATGGTTTTTAATACTTACGTGCTTTGGGAGTGTGACAAAGTAACTTTATAAAAGGGTTTGGGGAAACCCGGCAGGCCGGGACTTGAGTCCGGGAGATGGAAGTACAGTGCCTGCACTCTAAAGGGAGGGGTGTTAATTTTTGCATTTTAAAAAACTGTATGTAAAGCCCTTTCTGGAAGGGCAGTGAGGGGAGTGAATGATGGTGAAAGTTTTTCTTTTTCGGGCCACCCTGCCTTGGTGGGAATCGGCCGGTGTGATAATAAAAAAAATAAATATAAAAGGGACTAATATAAGTTGGGGTGAAAAATAAAGTGGTAATCAAAAAAATGAGTTTGGGAGTATAATGGAAAAAATATGAACTTAACTTTAGCATCGACTGTAAAGGCTAATATGTGTAGCCTGGGACATATGTAATTGATGTGTGTTACCTGGGAAATTTGTAAGCCTATGTGTAACTTGGGACATATAAAAGTGATGTGTTGCTTTGGAAAACTGTAAGTTCTAATACAGTGGAACCTAAAAAATTGAACTGCCCCCAACTCAACCAAATTTTTAAAAGGTTTTTTTGAAGTGCTTTTATAAGTGTATTTTTGAGGGTTGAAATGGACTAATTAATTTACATCTTCCTGATGAGAAAAATTCATTTGGTAGGGGCACTTGAACACCCTTCTAACCGAAGAAATTCGATATTTGGGGTTTCCACTGTAAGCGTAATATGGAACATTTGTAAATGCTGTGTGTTACTTGGGACATTTGTAAGTGCTAATGTGTGTAACATGGGTCATTAGTAAGTGGATGACCTCAAGCTGTACATTCGTTGGTAATTTTTGATACTATCTGCAGGGATGGAGGTGGTCATACATTATAACCGGGATGGGGGCGTATTGGCTACTCTCCTACTCTTCCTAATAGTGAGAGATCCTACCCGTGCCAGCCAGGCTGAGAGCAAGTCAGGCATACAACCCACTAAACCACTCAGAACCATCAGCACCATTTCGGGCGACTCTGAAGACAGTGACGTCGAGTTCACAGACATCAATGGGAAGAACATTGTGACATCGCCTACGGGCAGCCAGGCAAAGGAGGGGCTTTTGAGAAGACATTCTGGTCCGAAGGATGTGGCTAAGGCTCTCTGCAAGCCTCCGCTGCTGATGCTGACTTTTGCTGCCTGCATAAGACATACAGGTGATTACTGGGCTTAGGTTCCAGTCTTGAAGTACTTTTTCTTAGCACCATTTATGGATCTGAAAATACAAATAAAACAATACAATAATTAATTAGCTTACTTGAAAATGAAAATAATAAAAATTATTATTAGTGCTAGGGTTGTGGTTTGTTCGTTGGATTACATGCGGCCAGCAGTAACAGCCTAGTTGATCAGGCCCTGATCCACCATGAAGCCTGGTTAGAGAACAGGCCATGGGGGCATTGACCCCCAGAACTCTCTCCAGGTATACTCCAGTATTTATATTAGTATTATTATATTGGGGGAAGTTAACTCTAGAGTGGCTCATTCAGCCCCAAAGGGAATGACTTACGATCATGTTTAATGCAAAGAAGAGAAGAGCGGCTTAAATTTCTTGAAGCAAGAGTTCTTCATCAACATGAAGGAGAAGTCCTGAAAATCTCTCATAATCAGTACATAACCCTAGCACTCTCTGATGCATCATTGCATTACTAGTATAGAGTACCAGCAAGATGAAGGATTAGACACAGGGACATGTTTTTCGGTTTCGTATGAGATGAACACAAGACGCGAAAAAAGGTAATTAGTCCCGCAGCCTGTACATCACCTTCCACTGTCTTCTGCATACTGTTCTGCAAGAATGAGGGACTGATTGCCCCATCTACTGTCTTCATATATCATCTCTCTATTTTTAGTTAGTTAGTTTAATATGTTTATTATGCACTCCATACCCATCCTGTGGGTGGGAGTCAAAAGTTACAGAGGTACAAATTGGTCCAGGGACTGGACTCCAAAGTTTTGATAGCTGAGCAAGTTACAGAGGTAATGAACTCACAATTTACAAAGGTAATGAGCTCACAATTTACAAAGGAATGAACTACAATTTACAAAGGTAATGAACTCCAGGTAGGCTTCAAAATCATGAAAATTTTACAAAATATTTACGATTACAGAGGTACAAAATGGGTCCGGGGGACTGGGCCCCCAAAGTTTTGATAGCTGAACTGGGTACAAAGGAATAAACCACTATTAAAAAGGAAATAAAACCCTGTGAATGGTTACTTACTTTATACATGAAACGATCATGAACAAATTATAGGAAATGAGCAATTCACACCCCACCCCCCGGGTCAAAACTGTAATGAGTTTTTGGGGCAAATACATTGATTTTGATCACACACACACACACATACAACACACACCCCGTAAAGAGGCGGGGCCAGGAGCAGGACCGCCCCCTGCAACCAAAAAGGTGAGACAAATAGGTGGTACACCACACACACACACACACACACCACCACACACACACACAAAATTTATAACAGAAGTAAGACCAGAGAGAGGGTGGGTTATTGCATCTTTTTGGACGCAAAGAAGGCCTTTGACACAGTTCCTCACAAGAGTTATGCAGAAGTGAGCATCAGGCGCTTAAACGGGAAGGCACTGCAAGGGATCAAAAATACCTGACAGGGAGGCAAAAACGATCAGGTAAAATCCTGGATCGTATCAAGAAAGTCACCTGACTCTAAATTTGACAGGAAATTTGAGTCAGGTGACTTTCTTGATACGACCAGGATTGTTTTTAAAACATTTGGACAGAGCCAAATGGGGAAATAACCCCCTTGACTTGGTTTTTGCCAAGGGAAACATAAATTTAAAAACTTGAGGTTAATGATGAGCTGGAAAGTGATACAAATCACTCAGTTTTAAATATCATGGAATTCCCCCCAATAAGGCAATCGTCTCCTCCCTGACTTTCGCTTGGTGATTTCATAGGACGAAAATTACTTAGGTGGGCTGAACTGGAATACCTGACTAAGGGTCAGGTAGGGGGTGATGGTTGCCGATATGATGCTTTCCAGGCATAGTTTCTAGCTGCCGTCAAATTAGTTCCCAAATAGGGAAATCAGATCAAAAAAAATATCCAAAGGATGAACAAAAGATTAAAAAATCGATTGGTCAAAAGAGAGGGATAATTTGGCAAATCAAAAGAGGAAGGGGCAATTTAGAAAACGATATATTCATTTTAAAAGGAAATAAAAAAGGGGAAATTTGAAAAGCAAAAAAAATTATGAGGGTTAAAATTGCAAGAAATCGAAGCTAACCCCCAAAAGGGTTCTTTTAGGTAAACAGAAGTAAGATCAGGAAAGATAGGGGGCCCCCAAAGTTCCTCGGGGGCAGCTCAGACAGTGTAAGGAAATGTGTAGAATTTTAAAAACTACTTCCTCTCATTTTTACACAGGGGGATCCAGCGATATTCCCGTAAGATAAATTTTTGTAGAAAAGGGCGATAATAAAAATGTGCACTTTAGGGTCACAAGGCTGGCCTTAGGCAAATAGAAAAAATTTAAAACCCAAAAATCCCCAGGCCCTGATGAACTGTATCAAGGGTTCTAAAGGAAGAAAAAGGGGCTTAGCACACCTTTGGCTAATCTTTTTAAAAATCACACAAAGGGATGGGCCAGATAAGGGAAAATAGCAAATGGATACCTATTTTTAAAACAGGTGACAGGGCCTTGCTTCGAACTAAACCAAAAAAGCCTAAACCCCCAATGGGAAAATTTTTGGAATCAATAATTTCCGAGGGAGTTCGTAGCACCTTGAAAAAACATAAATTTAAACAAAGAATCTCAGCATGGTTTTTTTCAAAGGGGCTTCCCGCCTTACGAATTTATTAACTTTTTTTTACTAAGGTATTTGAGGAGGTAGATATGGTAAGAATATGATATTTTGGGTATTGGACTTCAGTAAGGCTTTTGACAGGGTCCCACTCAGAACTATTGAGGGAAAATTAAAAACACATGGAAAAGGAGGGGGAAAAATTTTTTTCCCGGATAGAGGCAGGTTGACAAATAGGGAGCAGAGAGTTTGCTAAATGGGGAGAAATCAGAGTGGGAAGTGTCCGAGCGGTTTCCACAGGGGCAGGTTGGGCCCCTGCTGTTTACAAAACTACATAAACACATAGATGAGGGAAAAAAGAGCGCATCGGCAAGTTTTGCCCCTGACCCAAAAAGGCCTCGAATTCATTCTGACGGACATTCGAGCACTCCAGGAAAATTGAATAGACGACAGTGGTCGGAGAAATGGCAGATGCAGTTTAAATAGACAAATGCAAAGTTCTAAATGTTGGACAGGGCAATAACATGCCCATATAAATAAATAATGTAGCTTTAAAATTTCGATGCGAAAAAAATTTAGGAGTTCTGGTTAGCAGTAATCTGAAACCAAACAACAGTGCATAAGTTTCGCATAAAACAATAGAATCCCTTTGGTTTATATCAAAAGCATAAAAATAGGAGTCCCCAGGTTTTTCTTCAACTCTATACATCCTTGGGTTTGGCCTCATTTAGATTATGCTGAATTTGGTCACCTTATTTCGAAGGATATAAATTCTCTGGAAAAGTACAAAGGGGATGACAAAGTTGATCCCCTGTATCAGAAACCTTCCCCATGAGGTAGACTAAGGGCCCCGAAACTCACTCTTAGAAAGACTAGATAGGGGGATATGATTGAGGTGTATAAAAAGGGGAAAACAGGAAAAAAACGGGGATGTAAATGTGTGCGAAAATATCAGCCTAGACAGGACTGCAGCAATGGGTTTTAAGTTGGAAAAAAAATTTAGATTCAGGAAGGATAAGGGAAATACTGGTTTGGTAATAAGTTGTGGATGAGGGGAAAAAAACTCCCAATACCGTTATAGAGGCCAAAAGTTGTGAGCTTTAAAAATAGGTTGGATAAATACAGAGGGATGTGGGTGGGTGTGAGTTAACCCGATAGCTTTTGCTACCCGGTCGGTTGCCGTTTTCCTCCCCTTTAAATCAATGGACCCGACCACTAGTTGGGTGCATTGGGTTTTAAACCGGAGGAGATTGGGCCTGCCTCGCATGGGCCAGTAGGCCTTCTGCAGTGTTCCTTCGTTCTTATGTTCTTAGTTTTTAGTAATATGTTACAGTGGGGGACCTGGGACGAGCGGGTCCCACAGGGGTCGGTCCTAGGGCCAAAAGCTATTTTTTTGGGATATGTGAAGACATTGGAAGGGTTAGACTCAGAAATGCCCTGTTTGCAGATGATGGAAGTTAATGAGAGAAAAAATCGATGAGGACCAGGCAGGACTTCAAAGAGACCCGGACAATGGCACCTGGTCCACCAAATGGGGTTCTCGAATTTAATCCTGCCAAATGCAAAGTCTGAAGATAGGGAAGGGGACAGAAAAACCACGACAGAGTATAGGGTAGGTGGCCAAGACTGCAAACCCCACCAAAAAGAAAAAATCCTGGGGGGGGTATAACAAACCCACATGTCTCCGGAAACACAATCAAACAGATAAATGCTGCAGCATATGACGCCTGGCAAACCTGAAACAGCATTCCGATACCTTAGTAAGGAATCGTTTAAGACACTGTACACCGTGTATGAGGGCCCCTATGGATATGCAGCACCTTTTTGGGAAACCACACTTGAAAAAGAGCGTCAGAAAAATAGGAAAAAAAAGGTTTGCGACAAGGTTAGTTCCAGAGCTAAGGGGAATGTCCTATGAAGAAAGATTAAGGGATATCGGCCTGACGACACTGGAGGACAGGAGGGTCAGGGGAGACATGATAACGACATATAAAATACTGCGCGGAATAGACAAGGTGGACAAAGACGGGATGTTCCAGAGAAGGGACACAGAGGCACAAGAGGTCACAATTGGAAGTTGAAGACTCAGATGAATCAAAGGGATGTTAGGAAGTATTTCTTCAGTCATAGAGTAGTCAGGCCGTGGAATAGCCTAGAAAGTGATGTAGTGGAGGCGGGAACCATACATAGTTTTAAGGCGAGGTATGATAGAGCTCATGGGGCAGGGAGAGAGAGGATCTAGTAGTATTCAGCGAAGAGGCGGGGCCAGGAGCTGTGACTCGACCCCTGCAACCACAAATAGGTGAGTACACACACGCACACAGGGGCTTGGACTCGACCCCTGCACACACACACACACACACACACACACACATTGGAAGTTGACACAAATGAGTCAGAGAGATAGTAGGAAGTATTTCTTCAGTCATAGAGTTGTAAGGCAGTGGAATAGCCTAGAAAATGACGTAGTGGAGGCAGGAACCATACACAGTTTTAAGACGAGGTTTGATAAAGCTCATGGAGCGGGGAGAGAGAGGGCCTAGTAGCAACCGGTGAAGAGGCGGGGCCAGGAGCTAGGACTCGACCCCTGCAACCACAAATAGGTGAGTACAAATAGGTGAGTACACACACACACACACACACACACACACACACACACACACAACACACACACACACACACACACACACACACACACACACACACACACACACACGCATGCACACATGCACAAATGTGGTAATGCTTTATTTACAGCTAGCAAAGTCAGGGTATTTCTCCAGAATGGTCTGTAATATACCACTGTGGATAAAATACTTTGCCATTTCTTGAACACTTCTGAGTGAGTTGTTTCTAAATTCATTAATTTTATCGCACTCCAGTGCATAATGACGCAGGGTGTGACAATAGTCCATCTGGCAAAGTTTACATTTCGTTTGGTCTACATCTGGTGGTGGTGATTTAACCTGCCAAAGATACTTGTAACCGAGCCAGAGCCGGGCGGTAGTGACATCCAAGAGTCTGGTTATTTTGTTGGATGCACCATAGACATGTGGCTTCTCCTGCATGATAGAATGATGATAGATGGACTGACTGGTGTCAATCTCCCTGAGTCTTAAGTCAATAAAATTCAGTTGAAGTTCTTTTCGTATTATTGTTCTCAAACTACTACATGACAAGCCAAGATTGTAATCTACTCCCTCTTTGAAAGCATACAGCTTAGCCAATTTATCAGTTCCATCATGCATCCGAAGACCAATGTGAGATGGAATCCACAGCATGTGCACTCTGACTCCACTGTCCACAATCTTACCATACCTATATCTGGCTTCTGACACAAGCATGCCACAATTTATACTTAATGAGTTGAGAGCATTTATGGATGACAGAGAATCAGTTACAATTAAACTGTCAATCTTAGAAACATAGATGCATTTCAGTGCAAGGAGTATGGCAAACAGTTCTGTCTGAAGGGTAGAGGCCCAATTATTGATGCGTGCTCCAAATTCTTTAAGAGAGCCATCACTCTGTATGACAACAGTAGCACTACCAGTTGCACCAGTGGATAATAAATAATTTGCGAGAGTGTGTGCTGTGTGACTAAGTTATCAGTACAGCTTAAGGCATCATGTTTGGCTTCAAGGCAAAGTTTTGGTTGTCATTTAAGAAGTAGTTTGGGGGGAAATGGAGAAATGGTAGTTTGGAATGGGGTAATATCCCATGGAGCAGAGAAGTACCGCTGTTGCCTTACTTGACATAGATCATGTATCTGATTCATGCGGAGGTCGGTTCCAGTTTTTTCGATCCATCTGGAGGATGTATTTCTCTATTCAAATGAAAAAGCCACTGGTTAGCAAAATATCTCACAAAGAGATATGCAGTTGTTAAACACATGTCTAATTCCTCTTTGTTCCCTGATGCATTATTACAATATGTCTGGTTCTCGACTAGTAACCCGTTCTTCTGTATAAATTATTAAATGTAAAGAGAAGATAGACTTTATAGTTTTCCTCTTTTTTTGGGTTACCCTGTCTTGACTGGAGACAGCCAGTATGTTGAAAAAAAAAAGAATCTACCTTTTGAATACAGTGGACCCCCGGATAACGATCAGCTCCCAACTCGACCAATTATGTAAGTTTATTTTTGTAAGTGCTTTTGTAGGTGTATTTTTAGGGGTCTGAAATGGACTAATCTAATTCACAATATTTCTTATGAGAACAAATTCGGTCTATAATGGCACCCAAACAGACTTCTGGATTGAAATAATATCGTTATGCGGGGGTCCACTTTATTTTGACACTGCATTATATCTACCATTTAATATCAGTAATCCCTTTTTATCTTTTCTTTATAGCATCATGTTTATTCCTGGCACACTCTGACACTCCCTTACATCTGGTATTGACACACACTAATTCTACCTTTTTTTTTGTGCTTGCTTCAGCGGGCTTCTCATGGGCATACAACACTCAGCTTTATTTCCTCACCTACTACCCTGGCTTCAACATCGGCTTGTGGGTGATGAGTGCCTCTATAATTGGTGGGTCACTGGGAGTGACTGTGGGTGGATTCGTTTCTGACAAACTGGTCAAGAGGATCGGCATCCGTGCTAGGCTGTACGTACTGGCTGCGAGTCAGGTAAGATACAAGAGACTTGACTGGCTACCTGCATTTAGAATAGTAGTGGTGGTGGTAGTAGTAGTAGTAGTCATCATAGTAGTAGTAGTAGTACTAGTAGTAGTAGTTGCAGTAGTAGTAGTAGTAATAGTAGTACTAGTATAGTAGTAGTAGTAATAATATCCCTGTAATATTCATAGAGAATGACTAAACCCATAGGAATTGTACAGAGCCTGTGGAAAGGGAGGCAGTTATGTTTGATTTGAGATGTTAACCAATTTCTTGGTGCAAGATTCCTTCACTTGCATCAAGGCAGCTTCCTGAAGGTCAGAGTACTGAGACCCAGTTCATAACTTACGTGTGAGTTTGAGATCTTCTAGAACAGTATAAATTGTGGTCTGTAGAAGTGACTCACACAGCAATTTATATTGATGTGGGATAGTTCTCAGTAAACTCAAGATTCTGCAAATATTATATATTATAGCAAAAATTTCAGTAAACTGATTAGCATTACATCACATTCTTTAGCTCCTAAAATTTAGATGTTGCCGCCAAATTGACTACTTTGTCGTGCAACTCATATCCATCCTGCGAACAGCGATAGCAGACCAAAATCCATCCTGTGGATGGTAGTGGCTAGCTTATCATGCATCTTATATCCATCCTGTGGATGGTAGTGGCAAGTTTATTGTGCACCCCATGCCAGCCCTCTAGATGGTAGTGGCTTGTTTATTGTGCACCCCATGTCCATCTTGTGGATGATAACAACTGGTTTATTGTGCACCCTATATCCATCCTGTGGATGGTTACAACTATTTCATTCTGCACCCTATATCCATCCTATGGATGAATTCAAAGATCATACAGATATGCAGAAATCCTGGGAACTACCATGTGCCTGGAAAGTATTAATTCTCAACAGGAATACATCTCAATATATTATATACAGTATTAAAGCATTTAGAGTTTTAGTTATTTATTTGTTAGCCAATCTCTTTTATAATTATATCATAATCGTAAGATTCACAGTCCATGTGTTCTGCCTTGCCTCTGTCAGCTAATAGCAACGCCTTTCGCCGCTGGTGTGCTGTTCTTCCCTCCTCCAGGCGCCTTCTTCAGTCTCCTGGGGTCTTACATCTTCGGTAGGTACCCAATTTCGTAGGTACCCAATTTGATAGGTACCCAATTTGATAGATACCCAATTTGGTAGGTGCCCAATTTAGTAGGTACCCAATTTGATAGATACCCAGTCTGGTAGGTACCCAGTTTGGTAGGCATCTAATGGCTTGCCAATTTCAAGATTGTTGACTACTAGTGCATAATGAATTTGTGAGATCCATACATGCTCTGAAGGTAAGAGAAAAATTAGCTTTAAGACACTGTACAACCATTTTACTTATTTAGTGTTATGATTTGCATGTATTTTCAATAGCATTTGCTGAACTGACAAAAACCAAGAGTATACTGTACATGTAACATGCAGTACTGTGCAGTGCATAGCAATGTGTAACATATTTGAAAATATCATTCCAATTTGTACTCTATTTCCTAAGACAAATATATTATAAAATCCCAAATTATTATTATTATTATTATTATTATTATTATTGTGTACTCTCTTACTCTACATATTTTAAAATTTCCTGACTTCAGAATAAATTGATATTTACTCTCTTCTACACTATAGATGTTTCCCTTCTCCCTTAACTTCATTGATGTTTTCCTTCTTCCTCGATGCCATTGATGTTTATCTTCTTCTGTGACACCATTCATGTTTAACTTCTCCCTTGACACCATTGATGTTTAGCTTCTCCCTTGACATCATTAATGCTTAGCGTCTCCCTTGGTACCATTGATGTTTACCATCTCACTCAACACCTGGAGCATACCAGGAGAGAGTTCCAGGGGTCAGCACTCCCACAACCCGGTCTGTGACCAGGCCTCATGGTGGATCAGGGCCTGATCAACCAGGCTGTTACTGCTGGCCGCACATAATCCAGCGTATAAGCCACGACCTGGCTGGTCAGGTACCGACTTTAGGTGCCTGTCCAGTGCCTGCTTGAAGACAGCCAGGAGTCTATTGGTAATCACCCTGATGTATGCTGGGAGGCAGTTGAACAGTCTTGGCCCCCTGACACTTATTGGATTGTCTCTTATCGTGTTAGTGGCACCCCTGCTTTTCATTGGGGGGAGGTTGAACTGTGTGCCAAGTCTTTTGCTTTCGTAGGGAGTGATTTTCATGTGCAAGTTTGGTACTAGTCCCTCTAGGATTTTCCAGGTGTATATAATCATGTATCTCTCTTTCCTGCATTCTAGGGAGTACAGGTTTAGGAACTTCAAGCGTTCCCAGTAATTGAGGTGGTTTATTGCAGTTATGCATGCCGTGAAGGTTCTCTGTACATTTTCTAGGTCAGCAATTTCACCTGCCTTGAAAGGTGCTGTTAGTATGCAGCAATATTCCAGCCTAGATAGAATAAGCGACCTGAAGAGTGTCATCATAGGCTTGGCATCCCTGGTTTTGAATGTTCTCATTATCCATCCTGTCATTTTTCTAGCAGATGTGATTGATACAGTGTTATGGTCCTTGAAGGTGAGACCCTCTGACATGATCACCTCCAGGTCTTTGACATTTGTTTTTTGCTCTATTGTGTGGTTGGAATTTGTTTTATACTCTGATGAAATTTTAATTTCCTCACATTTTCCATATCAGTGTAGTAATTGGAACTTCTCATAATTGAACTTCATATTGTTTTCTGCAGCCCATTTAAAGATTTGGTTGATGTCCACCTGGAGTCTTGCAGTGTCTTCAATGGAGGACACTGTCATGCAAATTCAAGTGTCATCTGCAAAGGAAGATACTGTGCTGTTGTCATGCAAATTCAAGTGTCATCTGCAAAGGAAGATCCTGTGCTGTGGCTTATATCCCTGTCTATGTCTGATATGAGGATGAGGAACAAGATAGGGGCAAATACTGTGCCTTGTGGAACAGAGCTTTTCACCATAGCTGCCTCAGATTTTACTCTGTTGACTACTACTCTTTGTGTTCTGTTTGTTAAGAAATTATAGATCCATCTGACTTTTCCTGTTATTCCTTTATCATGCATTTTGTGCACTATTACATCATGGTCACACTTGTCAAAGGCTTTTGCAAAGTCTGTGTATATTACATCTGCATTCTGTTTGTCTTCTAAAGCATCCAGGACCTTCTCGTAGTGGTCCAGTAGTTGGGACAGACAGGAACGACCTGTTCTAAATCCATGTTACCCTGGGTTGTGTAAATGATGGGTATCTAGATGGATGGTGATCTTGCTTCTTAGAACCCTTTCAAAGAGTTTTATAATATGGGACATTAGTGCTATCGGTCTGTAGTTCTTTGTTATTGCTTTACTTTACTGCCCCCTTTGTGGAGTGGAGCTATGTCTGTTGTTTTTAGTAACTGTGGGATGACCCCAGTGACCATACTCCCTCTCCACAGGATGTTAAAAGCACGTGATAGGAGACTCTTGCAGTTCTTGATGAACATGGAGTTCCATGAGTCTGGGCCTGGGGGCAGAGTGCATGGGCATGTCATTTATTGCCTTTTCAAAGTCATTTGGCATGAGGATAATATCAGATAGGTGCATGTCTACCAAATTCTGTCTCTCTCTCATAAAAAATTCATTTAGGTCTTCGACTTTAGTCTGGTTAGTGGCTCACTAAAAACCGAGTCATATTGGGACTTAAATAGCTCACTAATTTCCTTGCTGTCATCTGTATAGGACCCATCCCATTTAAGTAGGGATCCAATACTGGATGTTGTTCTAGACTTTGATTTGGCATAAGAAAAGAAATACTTTGGGTTTCTTTCAGTTTCATATATGGCTTTTAGCTCTTCTCGCTTTTCTTGACTCCTGTAAGATTCCTTTAGCTTTAGTTCGATGTGTGCTATTTCTCTGACCAGTGTCTCCTTATGTATTGCAGATATATTGTCGTCTTGTAACTGCTCTGTTATTTTTTGCCTTCGTCTGTATAGGGAGCACCTTTCTCTTTCTAGTTTACATCTTCTCCTTTTCCTTAAGGAAATATACCTTGAGGATACCTCAAGTGCCACACAGTTAATTTGTTCTAGACATAGAGTAGGATGCATGTTGCTTCGTCTGTCTTCAGAGTTTATATCATTTAGGGCTTGGCTTACTTGGTCCCACCTTATGTTTTTGTTATTGAAATTGAATTTGGTGAAGGCTTCCTCATGACTGATCATATTTTGTCGGTCTGGGGCTCCCTGCATACATGTCTAGACCTCTATTATGTTGTGATCTGAGTATATTGTTTTTGATATGATGACATTTCGTATTAGATCATCCTTGTTAGTGAAGGTGAGGTCCAGCGTATTCTCCAATCTTGAAGGCTCTATTATTTGCTGGTTTAAGGTGAATTTGGTGCAAAGATTTAAAAGTTCGTGTGTGTACGAGTTTTCATCTGAGCTGCCTCCTGGTGTTATCTCTGCTACAATATTATTTACTATATTCCTCCATTTTAGGTGCCTTAGGCTGAAATTTCCCAGGATTTCCTTCTTACTTGACACCATTGACTAATACCATTTTGTACGACACCATTGACTGCTACTATCTCATATGACACCGTTGATTTCTAACATCTCATGTGACATGTTTGACTTCAATGAATGGACTTAAAGTATAACCCACCATCATGCACCACAGTCTTTATCGTTCCCTTTTCTTATTTAGCTGAGATGTGGTTTGGTGTTCTGTTCGCTGTGCTGCTGGAACTGGTGCCAAGCACAGTGCAGTCCACTTCCATTGCCGTCTTCCTCTTCGTTATGAACAATGTGGGTGGTAACATGCCCGTAGTGGTCGACCCTCTGTCTCATCTCCTCTCCTACCGCAGTGCCCTCTATATCATGTATCCTGGAATGTATCTAGCAAGTAAGTGATCATTATTATCATTATTATTAGTAGTAGTAGTGTTAATATTAGTACAGTACTATTATTGTGGGGAATTGCTGAAGCTATAAGAGGTCCCAAAGCATCTAAGGAATTGGAGGAAACTAGAATTTATTCAGATTAATAACCCTGAGGGCTGATAGCTCAAGATAATCTGATCTATTTATACTGAAGCCTTTTTAAGATTTTTCCCCAAAATGTGACCCACATCATTCGACTAATTCACAGATTCCTACTGTATTTTGTGCTGGATAACAGAGGCAGCAAGTGTTATGAGATTTTCCCATACATCTCACTGCATGTCAGGTTTGATCCCATGTCTCCCCAGCAGTGAGCCGAGGTTACGTGTTCTGGTGATTCCTGCCCTATAGTTGTATGAGTATCATTGTATGAGTAAGTGGTCATTAATTGGTGGGATGTCGTCGTCAGTCTAGAATCTGGTCGTTGTACGAGTGGGATACAGTCGTTATGCGGAAGGAGGGAACTGAGATTTTATTTGGTCATTATTCGAAATTATGTTCTATGAACATTTGTTCAGTGGAAAGTCTATTGTACAAAAAGTCTTTGCATACATATATATCATGTTCTGTTAACATTTGTTAGTTTTCAGATTATCAAAAATTCTCTGCATAACCAGGGGTTTTCCACACTTACTATTAAAATTTAATTAAATTTTGTACAAACCATGTGTCTTGTGGAAATAAAATATTTATTTATTTCTTCATTTTATTATCTCAAAATTATTAGTACAGTAAATGAAATCTTCATTAGATTTTTTTTTTTGTTAGATGCTAATAATGGTAATCCTCACAGTTTTAGTGATTTCTTTTATTATAACATAATTCATTAGGAACTATAATGAATGTTCCCTGGCTCTTAATATTATAGCATGCTGATTTGAGGCTTATGATTCAGTATAATTCTATTTTCCCCATAGGTTCTGTCTTTATTATACAGTATAATAATGCTATTTTCTCCATGGGTTCTGTCTTTATTGTGCAGTATAATTATATTTTCTCCTTAGGTTCTGTATTTATTGTACATAATTCTATTTTCCCCATAGGTTCTGTCTTATTATGCAGTATTATTCTATTTTCTCCATAGGTTCTGTCTTCTTCTTCCTCACAAGTTTCCTGTTGTGAAGATAGACTTAACCAGTGTTGTACATGGTTGCTGGGAATACCCACCTTGCTGGCAGAGGACTGCCACATGTTGAATTGAAAAATAATGCAGATGGTCACAGAAGATGTTGGACAGAAAGCCTATAGAGCCTCACACAGCTACATTAATCAGAGAGTACGTAATGTATAAGACAAGAACAGGTAGTCAGGAACACATTTGCTGAGTCTTGTACATCTGAATCATCTGACACCATCAACAGACAATTGACCAGAATAATCTTAGCCTTTTAGCAACATACATGGGTTTATTTAAATCATTATCTTATCTTAAAAATGTTGGAAATATAATAGTTATGTGGTAAAAATTATAAGTATTATTTGATTCTCTTACACAAATATTGTGTATTAATTGGCTTTGAAAAATTTTTGAATTTAGAAATTCACAAATTATTTAATTTTCTGATTTGTGTTGCCTGACTTGCCTTGCAATAGCCTTAGATTCTCACATTTTACGATACCATAATAATAATATTTATTGATAAAGAAATACTGTAATAGTACAACTTGGCATGTACACTGCTCAGAGTTGATGGTTCAGGAACACATTCTTTGACCTGCAGAATTTGTAATAATCATCATTAGTACAGTATTCTCCCAATTTACAATAACTTACAATGATCTGCACTTATAATCTTGGCATTTTGAAACTAGTTAATTATTTACAAACTATGATTCTCCCTTCCACTACTTTCGGCCATGGCAATATCACTTTTGGTGAAAAGACAGTTACAGTATTCAACAAGGCTGAAATATAAATTTTTTTCTAAATTTTTTACTAAATTCATTGAGATATTTTGTGTATCTTCATATATGCATATGTGGAGAAATCATATTTGCTTGGTAGAGATTTGATAATTACATTTGTGTGTTAGAGGTGGTACGGAGTCATGTCTAACACATGGTCAGTGGCTGAGGTAGTGCCAGTTACTGCATAGAGAAGACCAGGGCCAGGACCCATCCTGGTGAACCTACCTGTACCTGGCTGAGGTGCAGAGGCTCAGGTCAGTTTCCTCAACCACCCTCCCTCCCTATTCCTATTGCATCATCCATGGATGTAAAACCTCTCACCACTTTGGAATCTTTGTTGAGGAAACATTTCACCACATTATGGCTTCACCAGTCCAGTACAAAGAAGAACAGTGGAAATAGAGAAGGAGTTTGAGGTAATCAATCCCTCAGCCTGGAATTCTTCAACATTTATCCAACCTATGGACAAGCTCTATTTACACTAGTGGATGGTTCCACTGTGACTCTGCCTCCTCCTGCTTTAACTCGCCTGACTGCAATGTATAAGCTACTTCTCCTAGCATATGCTCTACTTTCTTCAAGATTGATGGACTGAACACATTGATTCCAGGCTGAGAGACTGATCACCTCAAACCCCTCCTCTATTTCCACCATTATTCTTTGTATTGGACTGATGAAGCTGCTGTGTGGTGAAATGTTTCCTCAGTAAAGATTCCAAAATGTTGCACAAGTGTCTTATTCTTCAACTTGTCAGTTTTCTAAACCAGTTTTCACAACTCTCATCACTGCCTTCCCACGCGCACCTGATAACTTCAACATAACAATGAGCATATGATAGAGGGCATATTGGAAGTACATGTATTGTCTATCTCAAATCTTTGCTCTGCTGTATTCCAATAAGTACTGATTGCTCCGAGGGTCTTCGGTGTTTAATATATAGTGTTACTAAACCATAGCAATTAAAAGTCACGAGCTGGATTTCTGGTTAAGGCTCGAAATATTTTATCAGAAGAAAGTTTTGTATGTATCAAGAGGCTATGCAAATAGCATGAATATTATGATTCATGAAATAGTAATACACAATTGCAAACAAACCACAGAACGAGTGGGATTTGAACCCCACCATGGGTTCAAACCCCACCTATTCTGTGGTTTGGTAACATGAATATTACTTGCATTAGTAACTGGGTCATATTAACATAATGAGAGGCTGGTGTTTAATAATTAACATACCAGGCAAATGACAGACTAGGTAAAAAAAAAAATAATTTTTGATCTCTCTTATTTAATATTTATTTATTATTATTAAAAAACAATACTATTAGTTGAATGATATCTTTTCAGCTCAGGTTGTCTTTATATCTGCATCATGTAGCTATTCAATGAGATATGAAGGAGAGGCTGCACTCAGCAATAAAAAGGCAACTAGTTCATTTTGTATTTTTAGTAAATTGCTTTTAATGGACTATTTTTCCAAACATACCATAATATATTTCTTAAGCATTATCATATTCTGTAATACTATACTTTAGTACTGTACAGTGTATTTTCTGTTTTAAGTTATTTAGTAAAATATCCTGAGTTTACTTTGAGTGTTACAAATTCTTTGGAAAAAACCTGGATGGGTGCACAGTAAAAAATGCCAAATCAAACTTTTATAATAGGAAAATATGAACAGTCTGTACTTAATTTTCAAATGAAATATGAAAACAGCTGCAGCACAAAGTAGTCCAGTGGTAGCTGTCAAGTATTTGATATTGTTAGTTGTCAGTGATGTATAAGCATAGCACATGTAATTGTATGTTAATGGTATATACTCTAAATATTCCAGGTATATATAACTGTATACTCATGATATATGCTCATCATATGGCTTAGATGAGATTTATATTGGTACTGTGATTTATATATGGTTCTGAATGTTATTGAAATGACAGTAGTTTGTTGGATTATGTATTGGTAGATAAAAGACTGTTGAGTAGACTTCAGGATGTACATGTTTATAGAGGGGCCACAGATATATCAGATCACTTTCTAGTTGTAGCTACACTGAGAGTAAAAGGTAGATGGGATACAAGGAGAATAGAAGCATCAGGGAAGAGAGAGGTGAAGGTTTATAAACTAAAAGAGGAGGCAGTTAGGGTAAGATATAAACAGCTATTGGAGGATAGATGGGCTAATGAGAGCATAGGCAATGGGGTCGAAGAGGTATGGGGTAGGTTTAAAAATGTAGTGTTAGAGTGTTCAGCAGAAGTTTGTGGTTACAGGAAAGTGGGTGCAGGAGGGAAGAGGAGCGATTGGTGGAATGATGATGTAAAGAGAGTAGTAAGGGAGAAAAAGTTAGCATATGAGAAGTTTTTACAAAGTAGAAGTGATGCAAGGAGGGAAGAGTATATGGAGAAAAAGAGAGAGGTTAAGAGAGTGGTGAAGTAATGTAAAAAGAGAGCAAATGAGAGAGTGGGTGAGATGTTATCAACAAATTTTGTTGAAAATAAGAAAAAGTTTTGGAGTGAGATTAACAAGTTAAGAAAGCCTAGAGAACAAATGGATTTGTCAGTTAAAAATAGGAGAGGAGAGTTATTAAATGGAGAGTTAGAGGTATTGGGAAGATGGAGGGAATATTTTGAGGAATTGTTAAATGTTGATGAAGATATGGAAGCTGTGATTTCGTGTATAGGGCAAGGAGGAATAACATCTTGTAGGAGTGAGGAAGAGCTAGTTGTGAGTGTGGGGGAAGTTCGTGAGGCAGTAGGTAAAATGAAAGGGGGTAAGGCAGCCGGGATTGATGGGATAAAGATAGAAATGTTAAAAGCAGGTGGGGATATAGTTTTGGAGTGGTTGGTGCAATTATTTAATAAATGTATGGAAGAGGGTAAGGTACCTAGTGATTGGCAGAGAGCATGCATAGTTCCTTTGTATAAAGGCAAAGGGGATAAAAGAGAGTGCAAAAATTATAGGGGGATAAGTCTGTTGAGTGTACCTGGTAAAGTGTATGGTAGAGTTATAATTGAAAGAATTAAGAGTAAGACGGAGAATAGGATAGCAGATGAACAAGGAGGCTTTAGGAAAGGTAGGGGGTGTGTGGACCAGGTGTTTACAGTGAAACATATAAGTGAACAGTATTTAGATAAGGCTAAAGAGGTCTTTGTGGCATTTATGGATTTGGAAAGGCGTATGACAGGGTGGATAGGGGGGCAATGTGGCAGATGTTGCAAGTGTATGGTGTAGGAGGTAGGTTACTGAAAGCAGTGAAGAGTTTCTACGAGGATAGTGAGGCTCAAGTTAGAGTATGTAGGAAAGAGGGAAATTTTTTCCCAGTAAAAGTAGGCCTTAGACAAGGATGTGTGATGTCACCGTGGTTGTTTAATATATTTATAGATGGGGTTGTAAGAGAAGTAAATGCGAGGGTCTTGGCAAGAGGCGTGGAGTTAAAAGATAAAGAATCACACACAAAGTGGGAGTTGTCACAGCTGCTCTTTGCTGATGACACTGTGCTTTTGGGAGATTCTGAAGAGAAGCTGCAGAGATTGGTGGATGAATTTGGTAGGGTGTGCAAAAGAAGAAAATTAAAGATGAATACAGGAAAGAGTAAGGTTATGAGGATAACAAAAGATTAGGTGGTGAAAGATTGAATATCAGATTGGAGGGAGAGAGTATGGAGGAGGTGAACGTATTCAGATATTTGGGAGTGGACGTGTCAGCGGATGGGTCTATGAAAGATGAGGTGAATCATAGAATTGATGAGGGAAAAAGAGTGAGTGGTGCACTTAGGAGTCTGTGGAGACAAAGAACTTTGTCCTTAGAGGCAAAGAGGGGAATGTATGAGAGTATAGTTTTACCAACGCTCTTATATGGGTGTGAAGCGTGGGTGATGAATGTTGCAGCGAGGAGAAGGCTGGAGGCAGTTGAGATGTCATGTCTGAGGGCAATGTGTGGTGTGAATATAATGCAAAGAATTCGTAGTTTGGAAGTTAGGAGGAGGTGCGGGATTACCAAAACTGTTATCCAGAGGGCTGAGGAAGGGTTGTTGAGGTGGTTCGGACATGTAGAGAGAATGGAGCGAAACAGAATGACTTCAAGAGTGTATCAGTCTGTAGTGGAAGGAAGGCAGGGTAGGGGTCGGCCTAGGAAGGGTTGGAGGGAGGGGGTAAAGGAGGTTTTGTGTGCGAGGGGCTTGGACTTCCAGCAGGCATGCGTGAGCGTGTTTGATAGGAGTGAATGGAGACAAATGGTTTTTAATACTTGACGTGCTGTTGGAGTGTGAGCAAAGTAACATTTATGAAGGGATTCAGGGAAACCGGCTGGCCGGACTTGAGTCCTGGAGATGGGAAGTACAGTGCCTGCACTCTGAAGGAGGGGTGTTAATGTTGCAGTGTAAAAACTGTAGTGTAAAGCACCCTTCTGGCAAGACAGTGATGGAGTGAATGATGGTGAAAGTTTTTCTTTTTCGGGCCACCCTGCCTTGGTGGGAATCGGCCAGTGTGATAATAAAAAAAATTTTTACAAAAGATGTCCAGTGTGTATGCATATACTCTATGTATATTAATCAAAACTGTTGATAAAAAATTTGCTAATGTAGCTGTCTTCTGTGTACTAAAGTACTGAGGTTGGGAGTGAATTTTCAGTCTTGTGAGCTATTTGTTTAAATATACAGTATTTTTGCAATGCAATGCTCAGAATACTGTATATAGAATAGCACTTAAAAATTAAAATGAAGTCTTTTATTTTTAATTCAACACACAGGTTTCTCTTGCTTTATACAGGCTTGTTTTGTGCAAATTAATTATTTTGGGAGGTCTGACTTAAATCAGTAATTCTGTGTACCACATGCATGTGCTGTTTGGAATTGGTGCAGTTAGCAAAATGTATTGAAGATTTTTAACAGCCAATGCAGAGATAACCCCCCCCCCCCCAAAAAAAAAAAGAAAAAAAGAAAGAGGAAACACATTCACTGTCATTCTTATAATAATTTTCTTGTCAAAAGTGTACTTACATCATGGTTTAGATGGTCCTCCAAGTTACAACATATTCAGACCTCCTTTAGAGTGCAGGTGCAGTATTTCCTAACCCCAGGACTCAGGTTTGACTAAACAGTTTCTTCCCTGAATCCCTTCATGAATATTACCTTGCTCACACTCCAACAACACATCAGGCCATGAAACTAAATCTTCTTTCTTCTTTCAACAAACCGGCCATATTCCACCGAGGCAGGGTGGCCCAAAAAGAAAAACAAAAGTTTCTCTTTTTAAATTTAGTAATTTATACATCAGAAGGGGTTACTAGCCCCTTGCTCCTGGCATTTTAGTCGCCTCTTACAACACGCATAGCTTATGGAGGAAGAATTCTGTTCCACTTTCCCATGGAGATAAGAGGAAATAAACAAGAACAAGAACTAGTAAGAAAATAGAAGAAAACCCAGAGGGGTGTGTATATATATGCTTGTACTACATGTATATGTAGTGTGACCTAAGTGTAAGTAGAAGTAGCAAGATGTACCTGAAAACTTGCATGTTCATGAGACAGAAAAATCGACACCAGCAATCCTACCATCATGTAAAACAATTACAGGCTTTCGTTTTACACTCACTTGGCAGGACGGTAGTACCTCCCTTGGTAGTTGCTGTCTACCAACCTACTACCTAGAATGAAACAATCTTGCCACTAAATATTAATGGTCTGATTGAGCTAGTACAGCTGGCATGAGCTTGAAGCACAACTCCTGCATATAGCAAAAGACACTTATACAGTATTTGTGATTACTGCTGTGATAAAAACAACACACCTGTAATCCCTATGGGTTTTCGGTGGTGTGTTAATGTTTGCCACGATCATTCTGATAGAGGTCCTCAGGTATGATCTTTTGAATGGTAGTTAATTATTGTGTTTATCCGCAAATTTAAGAGTGTGGATACTGAACCTGTGTCTGAAATGACACATGATGAACCCTGGGTGCATCCTATTCCTCAGTTGCTATGTGGCCCCTATGGGTTTAAGAATTCCCCTGATTTAAATAAAAAAACTAATTAATTTCACTGTAAATGTGCTGTAGTTGCCAAAGCAAAGCTGTTTGCATTATCTCATTTTTTTTATTTTATTTTGAAGCACTAGTTTTGTGTGCATGTGCAAGTCAATACAGTACTGTAATGTTTTTAGATGCATACATTCCACATACATTAGGAGTTTAGTTTTACCCATCACTGTTATGTGTAAATGGTTTAAAAAACTAATAAGTTGATAAATGAGACACTCATGCAACATTTAGGAATCTTTATTCTGGAAGTATTTCACCACACAGTGGCTTCTTCAGTCCATTGTAGAGCAAGGTGAGGAGTTTGAGGTAGTCAACTCTAGGCTGAAGGACTGATCACCTCAGACTCCTCATCTTTTACTTTTCTCTGCATTTAACTGAAGAAGTCAGTGCATGGTGAAACTTATCCAGAATAAAGATAACCAAATGTTGCACAGGTGTCTTTATTTATCAGATGTTGTTTATGTCACCATTGTTAGCCCATCACTATTATTTAGTGTAGTTACTGGGTTTATTGATCACCATTGTTATGCTCCACCATTATTTGTATTTTTTGTAATGAATTCTGTTAAGAAGAGATAATTAAATGCACGGTGATAAAATTTTGCAGTGTTTTATTTCTCACATTTATTTCAAGCTACAGAAGCCTCTCATATAACACATGTTCATGTTATAAATGGAACAATAATGAAATTTTGTTTACCATTATCATTTTACATGGGAAAAATCCGGTCCTGCACACCATAACGTGCCATTAATTTTGGGATTATAATTATACAGCACGTCAGGGTGGATGGGAGGTATTCAGGCTCAATTCAGGGAACCTGAGTACAGATCCAATTCCCTAGATCAAGAGCCCCTCACCAGTGTCAAGGAACCTCCCTTGAGGGGCTATAAATTTGGGGAAAAATAAACACAACATATGAATTCCACTTAGAAAATTCCATGGCCAAACAAGACAGTATGGATGAGTGAGGCCTTGTTTGTCGAGTGGCTCAAGCATTACCTTTTCCCTTTTTCAATTTGAATCGGTTATTTTGCGTTCTTTCTTGAAGGGATGTCCTCAGAACCATATTTATATCTCAGCCTCGCATACCTCAACGTACATTCTAGAAGCTCAAATCTTTCATACGAAGAAAGACAGAAATCCCTTGAACAAAACATTTAGCTGAAGCCTAGCTTTAGAAATCATTGTTACCTTGACATATTTTAAAGTCCCACCGAGTTTGCCCATCAGTTGTAACTATAATGGCTTTCTGTGAGAGGTAAGAGTTATATATATATACGTATATACATATAAACCATTTCTAATATGTGTACATGTGCATCTGTTAGCTTTAAAATTAAAAATTCTTTTGGCAGTAGAAATTATTACACCCTTGGTCACCTACCTCCAGCATTTTGAATTGGTTGTCTTGGGCACCACAAGCCATTCTTGTCTCACAAACAACTTTACCTCTAACTACATAACTAATGCTGTTAGATAAAGGCACTGCATATCTGGCTTGCATTCTTTGAATTTTACATGGTTAATGACATCACTGATATCCATTATCTCTTTATTAATGTAGGTTAACAGCTATAACAATACTGAAGAAGTCACTTGTGGTGAAACATTTCCTCTAATAAATGTCCTGAACTGTACATAAATGTCTTGATCCACATATAACAATACTATTGACTAGATCAGGTTTCATATACCAGCCTGAGATAATTACACAAAATGAAATTCTACCTATGAAAGTAATTATTATTATAATAAAAATGAAATTCTACCTATGAAAGTAATTATTATTATAATAAAAAGAAATACTAAACCTATTAATGATTAATTAGCAGCACAAAGATTTTCATTACAGTTGATTACATCTATCCTTAGGGCTGACAACCTGCACATCTTGCTCAATTATGGGAGGTAAAACAATTAACGAAGGAAAGGTGACTATCTTATTTATCAGTGTAGTGAAAGAGATCCTGTTGCTTTTATTGAGGAGCAAGTGTTAAATGCATGTGGGTTATATAGTGCCTGGGGAATGAGAGGCTTTTAGATTCAATCCAAGGAAGAAAGACCAACTCCTTGGATCCCTTCACCTGCTGTTAACGTAACTATTAGTAGTGGCCATAGACTAGGATATGCCTGTCATGACATGCTGCATTAAATATGAAAGACCTATGCAACACCAAATTTCATTTGCATCACACACACATACACAATGGGGCCAGAAGCTGTGGATCAACCCCTGCAACCACAAATAGGTAGGAACACACACATACACACAGTTATCTAAAGTCCATTATTCATAATGAAAAGTCTGATTTATGTGTGTGGGTGTCGTGCCTCTACCTGACTTCTAATTTCAAATATATTTTTTTATATTAGTCATCAGCATTACCAGATTAAAGGTTATTTATTTCAGCATGGCACATGTTTTTACAGAGATGGGTGACATTTAGGTGTGCATGCATAGGTTTGGAACTCTCACTGCCATCCACCACCTACGAAGACTCGCCACCACAACTATCTAAGGCAGGTAATGCTACAAACCCATTCATCTAGCAGCACATCCATCCCATTCTATTCATCAGAGCATTGGTTCCCAAAATGTGGGTTGCGGACCCCTCGGAGGACAGGAAAGGGGATGAACTGTTATTACAAGGGATCCATGAAATTTCGCAGCAAAATATTTCTTCTCCAGCCAGCATTCGATTTTTTTTTTTGGCAGTTAATGTTAGTTTTACAGTGGACTGGAGAGATTTTTGTCATGTAATTTGCCTCTGGATAAGTCTGTTGTGTAGGTTATTGTTTGAGTTCCATTGAGCAGTACTGCTTGTTGCTCTAGCTGTTTGTTCACTGAACTTTCATTGCTGGAGTTTTCTGTTCATTATTATATACCTTAATGTTGGATTAGTTTGTTCACTATAATTGTTCTTACTGTACTGATGACCCTTGTAGGTTTAGTGCTTAGTTCTGATTATATTATTATTATTACTTTACTGACATTGGCTTACTTTTTTTTATCACCAGTGTCAATGTTGCAGTTTTTACAAATTGTAATTATTATTATAATCAAAACTAAGTGCTAAATCCCTATGGGTTTAGCACTTAGTTTTGATTATAATAATAATTACAATTATATTAAGGGGAAGAGCTAAAGCTGTAAGGGGTCATACAGAGCTTGGGGAATGTGAAGTAAACCAGGTTCAGTCCAAGGGAGGGGCTGTGAAATGTAATTCCTTGGATCAAAAGCCCCTCACAAGTAAAGATAATTTCTTTACAGTAAAAATATGTATATGTATTCCCAGCACCAATATTTTCATGAAAATTAATTTTATAGTCACTTTATGGTTTGATTTGCATATGTTAACCTTGTTGACTAACAGCTGGCTGCTGTGTTAAGGAGGTCGTGTTCTCTTGTTGCTGGGAGTGTTCTTGAGGTTGTGTTCTGTCTCCCTCAGCTTGTTTCTGGAAGTGTTCTTGATGTTGTGTTCTGTCTCCCTCACAGCTTGTTGCTGGGAGTGTTCTTAAGGTCGTCAAAGAAAGTGAGGTACTGTTCTTTCCTCTCTGGGTAAAGAAGTTTGTTGTGCCTTGTAGGCAGTGAGAACCAGAACTGACGAGCCTGGGGAAAGTAGAGAAGGGGATTAGATGAAAAGATGCAGAACACACTTTAATCGTGAAGATGTTTAACTTTTTGTAGAGCTTTATCAGGTTGGTTCGGGTGTCATTCATACCTCAGCTCTGGTGTCACTCTCCATGGTTGGCGTGGTGTTAATAGCAAGATGGTGGGTGTTCTTGGGAGAAGCAGGAAGCCACTTGAAGCCTAAGGAGTCATCTGGTGTTGGGTCCCTGCAATGAACACAGACTTAGCTCTTGAACAAAGTCCACTAAAAGAAAAAAAACACATTGAAGAACAAACATTTATTGGGACAGATTTATTGAGTCACGTTTTACGCTACAGACTTGTCAAGACATGAAGAATAAAAGGGCATCTAACAGTGGATGGAACAATACACAAATAACCCACACCTAGAAGAAAACTTGTACCTATATATACTGCTCTCTTCCCTTTGTGCTTGTGTGTGACTAGTTTATGGTCCAAGTCAGACTGAAAAGCCATCATAAATTTCTTCTATGTGGGGGTTATTTGTGTATTATCAAGTCATGTCTTGATAAATCCTAGTAAATAGCGAAACGCTGCCTCCATAAAAGCTTATTTTACAGCGTGTCTTTTCTTCACTATTGACCTTGAAATTCATTTTATTTTTATATGTTTTGGTAATACACGTTATTTTAATACGTACATACTGTGTTACCAAATTAAATATTCATTACCAGTCTTAACGTGTATTGCAGTAAGACTACAGTGATTACCAACAATTTGAGGAAAATGCGTCACATTTAGGGTGATCACAGGTTCAGGACCAAAACATTAACATTAAAAACGTAATGAACAGTTTGCATAACCTCATTACTGTTACTTGTTGGTATTGTACATCTTTATATCTACTACTACTAAAGCCCAGTGACTGACCCAGTGGCAGCGAAATTGGCCCAGAGCTTGCTAATTAATAAACTGACTCGAGCCTCGTCACTTTTCTTGGGGAATGATGGGCCCTCAGGGCTCCAAAAGACATAATGCGTCTCACTGCTGTGGGTAACATCTGTGGAAAATATGGTTCATCAGGTTATACCCCGAGACAAAGTGGCAGTGTAGGAAAACCCCCACCTATTGTTATTCCTATTATTAGTAATAACAATAGTAATATTATTATTAACTTACTAGTACTAGTAGTAATTAATATAAGAATAATGATTTGCTAATAAGTCAATAATGTATTACTGTAATTCATACATACATGCCATACATACATGAATAGCATACATACTATATACATACATGCATAACATACATACTATATACATACATGTAATGCATACATAAATACATGCATGCAATGCATACATAAATATATACATGCAGTGCATACATAAATGCATACATGCAGTGCATACATAAATGCATACATACAATGCATACATAAATACATACATGCAATGCATACATAAATACATACATGCAATGCATACATAATACATACACACACGCACACACACTTCAGGTGAGTATAACACCAGGCACATCTGAAGCGCACATCAACGAAATAACGGCTGCAGCATATGGGCGCCTAGCAAACCTCAGAACAGAATTCCGACACCTTACTAAGGAATCGTTCAGGACCCTGTACACCGTGTACGTTAGGCCCATATTGGAGTATGCGGCACCAGTTTGGAACCCACACCTAGCCAAGCACGTAAACTAGAGAAAGTGCAAAGGTTTGCAAAAAGACTAGTCCCAGAGCTAAGAGGTATGTCCTACGAGGAGAGGTTAAGGGAAATCAACCTGACGACACTGGACAGGAGAGATAGGAGGGACATGATAACGACATACAAAATACTGAGAGGAATTGACAAGGTGGACAAAGACAGGATGTTCCAGAGATTGGACACAGTTGGAAGTTGAAGACACAGATGAATCACAGAGATGTTAGGAAGTATTTCTTCAGCCACAGAGTAGTCAGTAAGTGGAATAGTTTGGGAAGCGATGTAGTGGAGGCAGGATCCATACATAGCTTTAAGCAGAGGTATGATAAAGCTCACGGTTCAGGGAGAGTGACCTAGTAGCGACCTGTGAAGAGGCGGGGCCAGGAGCTCAGACTCGACCCCTGCAACCTCAACTAGGTGAGTATACACACACACACACACACATTATATATATATATATATATATATATATATATATATATATATATATATATATATATATATATATATATATATATATATATATATATATATATATATAATAGTTGTTGTGTGTTGATGTGTATACTCACCTAGTTGAGGTTGCAGGGGTCGAGTCTGAGCTCTGGCCCGCCTCTTCAAGGTCGACTACTAGTCACTCTCCCTGAAACCGTGAGCTTTATCATACCTCTGCTTTAAACCTATTGTATATAATATATATAATAGGTAGTAGGTTGGTAGACAGCAACCGCCAGGATAGGTACTACCGTCCATGCCAAGTGAGTTGTAAAACGAAAGCCTGTAATTGTTTTACATGATGGTAGGATTGCTTGTGTCCTTTTTTCGTTCTCATGAACATGCAAGATTTCAGGTCGTCTTGCTACTCCTACTTACACTTAGGTCACACTACACATACATGTACATGCATATATACACACCCTCTGGGTTTTCTTCTATTTTCTTTTAGTTCTTATTTTGTTTATTTCTCTTATCTCCATGGGGAAGTGGAACAGAATTCTTCCTCCGTAAGCCATGCGTGTTGTTAAGAGGGCGACTAAAATGCCGGGAGCAAGGGGCTAGTAACCTCTTCTTCTGTATATATATTACTAAATGTAAAAGGAAAAACTTTCGTTTTTCCTTTTGGGCCACCCCGCTCGGTGGGATACGACCGGTGTGTTGAAAAAAGATATATATTATATATATATATAATAATATATTATATATATCATATTAATATTATATATATTATATATATATATATATATATATATATATAATATATTATATATATATATATATAATATAAAGGAGGTTTCGTGGGCGAGGGGCTTGGACTTCCAGCTTCCGGCTCTGGTGGCCTGGTGGTTAACGCTCTCGCTTCACACGGTGAGGGCCTGGGTTCGATTCCCAGCCAGAGTAGAAACATTGGACGTGTTTCTTTCCACCTGTTGTCTATGTTCCCCATCAGTAAAATGGGTACCTGGGTGTTAGTCGACTGGTGTGGGTCGCATCCTGGGACACTGACCTAAGGAGGCCTGGTCACAGACCGGGCCGCGGGGGAAGGAGGGGTAGGGGTCGTCCTCGAAAGGGTTGGAAAGAGGGGGTAAAGGAGGTTTTGTGGGCAAGGGGCTTGGACTTCCAGCAAGCGTGCATGAGCGTGTTAGATAGGAGTGAATGGAGACGAATGATACTTGGGACCTGACGATCTGTTGGAGTGTGAGCAGGGTAATATTTAGTGAAGGGATTCAGGGAAACCGGTTATTTTCATATAGTCGGACTTGAGTCCTGGAAATGGGAAGTACAATGCCTGCACTTTGGGATATTGGCAGTTTGGAGGGATATGTTGTGTATCTTTATACGTATATGCTTCTAAACTGTTGTATTCTGAGCACCTCTGCAAAAGCAGTGATAATGTGTGAGTGTGGTGAAAGTGTTGAATGATGAAAGTATTTTCTTTTTGGGGATTTTCTTTCTTTTTTGGGTCACCCTGCCTCGGTGGGAGACGGCCGACTTGTTGAAAAAAAAAATACATATATACATACATACATGCATACACACTGTTCAGGAGAGGGAAGCCCCAATTCCTCGCATCATGAACCCTTCAGATATAGATTATTATTATTATAATCAAGGGGGAAGCGCTAAACCCGGAGGATTATACAGCGCCTAGTGGGGGTTGTGGAAGGCATTCAGGCTTAATTCGGGGAACTGGAGCACAGATCCAATTCCCTAAATCAAGAGCCCCTCACCAACATCAAGGAACCTTCCTTGAGGGGTTCAGATATAGAGAAAACTGATTATGGAAAGCCACTAGGATCGAGTGATCAAAGTATATTCACATTTCCACATCACACAGATCGAATGTTGTTATGACTAAACTGTTTCACGTCATTCAGTTGCATGTTGAAAGGCAGGACCAAGAGCTAAAGCTCAATGCCCACAAAACCAAATAATTTCAAACGGGAAATTACACACACACACACATACATACATGAAAAGGCTCCAAATGCTGAATCTAAACTTAAATGCTTTCAATAACTGAATATATCCTTTTAATATGACCCTGATGGGACTTGTACATTGAATACAATGCAAAAGTTTATACCTTTGTAGCCTACGCGTGCCCATGGGCTACACAGACATGATGTCCAGTCCCTGAACCTACGAATGTCTCTTTAATCTTACGCCTACCAACTCATAGGATGAGTATAGGGTGACTACCTCTCGAAGGATGGGTATGGGATGCCTAATAAAACTATCAAACTAAGCCTACAGTGACTTTAATCTTGCCTTTACTCCAGTTTTCCATACTCACAAGTACTGCCTTGGTAATGGTGTTTAAACATATAGGTGAAGACTGGCTGCTGCTGCTGCTTACTGGTGGACAACCAAGTCTCGTCGTGACCAATGTTAAAGAAACGATCACCGAATAACTGCAAGAAAAATAATCGTCTGTTAACTCTTAGGATCCAGATGATGTACTGCCAACGATAATAAAAAAAAAATGACACACTGCAGAATAAGCTTTTATCTGAGTAATGTGTCTCCCTGGGTAGAGCTTTATCCTCAGCTAATTAAGCTCTAAAACATTGCATCAATAAAAAATTGTTTTGTAATATGTCTTTTATTCACTTTAAGTCAGCATACTCCATTTGTTATTAAAAGGATAAATCTTAATCAAGATCGTGTAATAGTGAATCTGAATAGACTAAAGTTTAAAAAAAAAAAACTAGATAAATATTAGTATACTCACTGGGAAGCGCTAAACCTGTAGAGATTAAATAACAAGGAGCTTCCCATAACGTAGTTTATACATGTCACTAAGAGATTAAACTGCATACTGTGCTTCACTTTACAGAAATAAAGTTGTCTGTTTAAAATACAAGACCCGCACCTTTTCGAGAGCTTCACTGTCGTCTGGGTCGGCCTTCACTCCCCGACGTAGTGCTGGAAGGCGAGTCTGGCCAGTGTGAGTGACCGCCTCCCATCCTGGAACAGCAGCGCCGCTTTCGGCCCCACCTCCTGGAACTTATGAATCAGTTCATCCCGTACTTTCTGCGAGTTGGTGATGGCTGTGGAAATATATCAGAGTACTAATAAAGGAATCCGATGTAAGGAAAAAATGTAAAGTGTACCCGTACCGTTGTCACAGCTTGCGTCCTAATCTGCTGGAATACGATAAAAATTAATGAATTCAGAGACAACTTACTCAGAAATGTTCAAGAAATAGTTCATTACCACTGTAACTTGCTCAGCTATCAAAACTTTGCGGCTCAGTCCCTGGACCCATTATGTGCCTCTGTAATCCTCTGATTACCGCCCACAGGATGGGTATGGGGTACATAATAAAGATATTAAATAACTTAAACTGAAAGATACCCGTAAGGCTATCGTCATCACGGGAGATACAACTTGGTAGTGATCAATGGTTTTATGTAAGGGGATAAAAAAAAAAAAAGCTGGGGTAGGCTGTGTCAGGAGACACTATGCTTTTCTTAAAGAATAAACTACCACCACCACTACTACCACAACTACTAACCTCTAGTTACAAATATGCCTTCATGCTGGTTGACACCGCTGATCATGGGTACCTTATGGAACCTTCCTTCTCGTAGGAGCTTGGCAGGATCGTCAGGCAGGTAGTCATGGTCAACCCGAGGTACTGCCACCCACGGAAGCCCATTCCAAACCTGTTTACCATTACAAAATATTTTTTTTGCCATACAGAAGTGAAACATGACACAAACTAAAAATAGAAATGTGCGGTGTATAAGAGATCTGTATGTGTATCCTGAAGAATGTTATTATGTATATTTACATATATGTATACTTATTCTTTTCATCTATTTAACAAAGGTATATTGAGAGTTTTTAATCCAGTCCAACGTAGAGGAAAAGTTGCTCTATTATTATTATTATTATTATTATTATTATTATTATTAGTAGTAGTAGTAGTAGTAGTAGTAGTAAAGAGGGAACTCAAAAAAGCAGCCACGGGCACTTGGTCAGTTCTCAATATTTTGATTGACAGTAGGTAGATAATGAAATATGGAAAATAGCTGAAAGCTGCTGATAGTGTATATATTGTCCGACTGAAGACTAGGGTTATCCTAGGTAATTTACACATATATTACTAGGTATGAGAATTGTACTTATGTGTACCTGTACCTAAATAATCTTATTGACTTACCTGAGATCAAACCTCATAGAATCCCATTCCATAGGTGATATGTTCCCTAAGGGTTTAGCGCCTCTCCATAAATCTAATCATATTATTACGTTAAAACTTTAATCTTTTAGGGGTCATACCTGTAACTTCTGTCAGTTTTAATTTCGTAATAATGCAGTTCTGCCCCCAAAATCTAACAATGTGACCTTTTTATGAGCTATCCTTGGTATCTTACACACATGTTGAGATCAAATTTGTTAGGATTTTACACCCGTAGGGTTAGCTATCCAGGATAACCAAAGAAAGCCAGTGCGTCATCGAGGACTGTACCTTATTTCCACTAGGGTCCTTCAATTGTCCCCCAGGATGCGACCCACACAAATCAACTAACGCCCAGGTACCTACTTACTGCTATGTGAACAGGGACAACAGGTGTAAGGAAACGCCCAACATTTCCAACCGTGTCGGGGATCGAACCACGGACACTCAGTGTGCGAGACGATAGCGTTGCCAACGAAGCCACGGAACAATCATTACTACGTCAGACAATTGCAATCACCTAAAACTTGTGTAACTGTACTAATGCGCAACGGCATCTAAATGAATTTATTTACTTAATCTAAAACAGTGATATTGTGTTTATTTTATAGGTAATACTATTCCCATACAAGTGAAAGAAAACGCGTTGTGACTAACCATTACCTTGCTGAATCGTGTATTGCTCTATTTACAAAGTGATACAGCATGTTTATTTAGGTATTGTTACTCACTTGTACAGTTACACAAATTTAGGCGACTCCAACTATCGCACAAAGTAACATATGTGTAAATTACCCAGGATAACCCAAAAGAAAGGTCAAAGTGACATTTACATTTGGGAACTTGCAATATTTTATTTAAAGCCTAGCTGCAAAAGTAATGGCATGTTATTACAGACGGGACTGGGGATAAAGACATGCACAATCAAGATATTAAAAACGTGTCGCCATTGGTAGAAAGTGAAAAAAGCTGATGGTCTTGAAACCTGTTCTTCAATGACTTGATTGTACATAAGTGTTTAGTTTCCACAAAATACAGTTATATGGAGTAAATAGAGTGAGTGAAAAAATGTGAGTCCTTAATAAGTTCCTAAATATAATTATTGAATAATCTGCATGATTCATGTTAGACTTTATTCTAACTATTTATTAAGAGGGTTAATAACCCAGTATGGGGAATAGCTCTTTAATCGGATTATTAACCCTGAATTTTCCAAGTCAATCAATGAAGCTTATTTCCATTAATATTCTTTGATCCTATTCCCCAGGATGCAATCGCCAACAATTGGCTAGCAGGAACCTAAGCAAGGAGTCATTCAAGACACTTCATAAGGCATACATGTAAGGCCCATATTGGAGCATGCAGCACCAGTATAGAACAAAGATGTCAAAAAAAAAAGTGGAAAAAAAAAGAGTGGAAATGGATGAGTTACGCAAAAGTTGAGGAAGGCCGGTACAAGGGCGTTCAGCGATACATTCTTGAGACACTTCAGCAGAGCCTCGCTGTCACTATCATTGCTCTCAGAGATGACGTCTGGGGTCTGGCATCCCATCATACGTCCGATGCTAAAAGCCACAAACTTGTGGTCTTTTCTGACTACCCAGGGGTCGAAGGCACTCCCAGACTGCATGATGACTTGTGAGAACAGTCCTACGGGAGACAGTCCAGGCTCAGATACAATGTACAGATTTGTCCACTTTCAGCATGTCAGCCTTAGCAAGTTTATTTAGGTACAGGTCCACATAAGTACAATTATCATACCTAGTAACACGCGTTAATTACCTAGGATAACCCCAAAAGTTAAAGTGATTTTTTGTTACTGGGGGTCTTAGTCACATCCATCACCTCTGATTTTCTCACACTCAGGACCAATCACCAAAAGTCTTGCTAATCAGACACCTGGCCACAGTTACTGGATGGAGGGCTAGTCTCCACTATTCATTGCACTAAGTTACCTACTCAGGCTTATCACTTCGTGAAAGTCAAGTATCTCGCTATGTCACACTTCCGGCTCTTCCATTCTCGGAAAACTCACTTAATCTCCCAATCATGAAAATTCTACATCAGTTTCATCATTTACATTCAACTGCTCCTCAAAATATAATTATCCATACTCTCACAGCTTTCACTCTTAACAGACAATTCTATTTTCTCTCTAGCATTTCCAGTATATTTCTCAAAAATAATTTCTTATTACCCATAAGGGTTAAACATTCGTTTTTACTATAATTATGTTAATGTTATTCTATGCCACTCATAAATAATAATATGAAGAAGAAATAATATCGCCTCCCCCCCAAAAAAAAAAATCTTGTCATCCCTGACTACCTTTAGGTTAGGTTAGGTAGCCGGAGGTTTTGGTCATCTGACTGAGGCCTTCCGCTGGCTTAACAGTCCACCCCTTTAAAAATTATGGCTATAATTATAACTGTTAGATTATAACTGACGAACCTTTAGCGTGAGGGTTGAACATCAAGAGATGTACCGAGGCAGCTCCAGCACTGCTACCAAGGATAGTCACTTTCTCGCTGTCACCACCGAAGCGAGCGATGTTGTCCCTGACCCAGACGAGGGCGAGAAGCTGGTCCTGGAGACCCAGGTTTCCCGGCAGCACTTGGTCTTCCGTCGACAGAAAACCTGAAGGATGAGAACCTCGCGTCAGCATGATTTGGAAGACATGTTGGATTTCTCAAATATCTTTAAAAGCTTTTATCTCCTAGGCTTCACGGACAATTATTTTATTCTGTTAGTGAGTATTTCTACTTTTTTTTTTAATTTATGGCAACTGGTCAATTCTTCTGAGATATGCGTATATGCTACAGAAATTTTTGAATGATGTTAATCACCTAGAAATAACAAATTCACGAGAAAAATACCAAAGATATAGGCTCCGCTGTAAGATATATTCATGGAGAAGTGGTAAACCCGTATGGGTCATACAGAACATGGGGAATGAGAAATAATCTGATTTGATTCGAGGTAAGAAAGACTGTTTCCTATTCCTTGAATAAAAAAAAAAACTCCGCCTGTCTCAAGGCAACCCCGTTTGAAGGGTCTAGTGTGATATAAAGAAGTTTGAAACTATATAAATAGAGATAACACGAGATGCATGAGCATAGCAAGTAAAGGAAGGAAAAAGAAAAGAAATTATTATTATAATAAAAAAGAAGCGCTAAACTACAAGGGCTATATAGCAAAAGAAAAGAAATGAGAAGAGAATAAGAAGTGAAAGAAAACACCGAAACTTGCAGAGAAGTGATGTACCTTAGAAAATTGGATTCATCATTTGACAGGTACACCTGTAAAGTTAACTTTGATATTAAATATAACCTAAATTTAACAAGAGTAAAACATAAGAGCTTAATATTTTACTACGGTGTAGGAGTTAATAACAAAGACCTCTCCGTGTTTATATTATGATGTCTATTATTGTCTATTTGTTCATCATTTATTGTTTGTATTTTATATTTGTATTTAATGTCATTAAACCACGGAACGGGTGGGGTTTAAACCCATGGCGAGTAAGTCGTAAAACTCCAGGTCAGTGCGTAAGCCATTGTAGCCAGCTAGCCGAGTGGCTTAGGCATTGGCCTGAAGTTTTAAGACTCATTTGCCATTGGTTCAAAACCTACCCGTTCCGTGGTTTGTTTGTAATCGTGGGTCGTTAAGTTACATTGTTGGGGAGAGAAGGTGTATCACCACTCCCTTCCTGTCGCCCGGGATCCCGGATTCTAATTCGTTCACCTTTCACGCACACGAGGTTATGACTGGTTAACAGATGAGACGAGAGAATGCTTAAATTGTTTATATTCTACTGTGATTATGTTGAGTTACGGCACTTCTACTGGGCCCCACTAATACAGTTAACTTTGTGATGTGTTTAATCAGTTTGAATATATCATGCTATGTACCTGTACCTGCTTAAGGTGTATTGTACCTTCACTGGGTCTGTGAGGTACTTTAATTAGTCAATTTTTTATGCATGTTATGTACTCACTTATAATATTAGTATTTATTTCTGAAAGTACATGTACAGCGTATTGCAGACCTACCAGACATCATTGATGCCCCGTGGCCTGGTGGCAAAATCTCTCGCTTCACACATTGAGTTCCGGGTTCGATTCCCGGAGAGGGTTGAAACATTGGGCTTGTTTCCTTGAACCGGTTGTCTATGTTCACCCATCAGTAAAATAGGTACCTGGGTGTTAGTCAACTGGTGTGCGTCGCATCCCGGGACATATATTGACCTAATTTGCCCGAAATGCTCTGCACAACATGGGACTTTCTATATAGTAGTGTGCCACTGATGTCAGCTACGCCTGTATACCTTGTACATGTACTTGTAGAAATTAAGATTTTATTATTATTACATATTATTATATAGAGAGTCCCTTGTTATGCAGAGCATTTAGGGCAAATTTTTGTCCTCAGGATGCGATCCACACCAGTCAACTAACACCAGCTACCCATTTTACTGCTAGGTGAACAGGGACAGCAGGTGTCTTTGGGAAACACGGCCTAATGTTGCCACCCGTACCGGGGATCGAACCACGAACCTCAGTGAGTGAGTTAGCACTCGAGCTAAGGTAATTGTGACGGTACGAGGGTACCGTCAATGATTAATTATATGTATAAGTGATCTCTTCATTGTCCTGTGTAGTATAGATATTTATCTAATTGCTGAATTTACTTCATTTTCTCCTATTAAAAGAACCTACTTATGTTATTGCTAACAAGGATCAGATATTTATATGGGTCCATGAAATAAGGGAGGTATTATATATTTAAATAGTGTATTCATTCGTAATTATGAAGAAAATTATGTGGATAAATGGTTCTGAGAACCGATGGATTGATAAATTAGACACATGTACAACACTTGGGTATCTTTATTGTGGAAACGTTTTGCCACACAGTGTTGCACATGTGTTTGATTTATCACGAAAAAATTAATTTTACCTTGTGTTTCAACTCACCTTTGAGCCATAATGACCTGGTGACAGAACAGTGTTGAGAGATTAACTAGGGGCTAACCTAGATTATGTTCTAAAGAGCTTTCACACTTAGTAAAATTGGACTGTATTATCTTCTGCCTCCTGGAACACATTAAATAGGTAGAGAGAGAGGGGGGGGGGGGAACTGCAACGTTGCAATGGAACAGATTAAAGAGGTTAAGGAAAGTACACTAACCAAGGACTCCCAGCCGGTACTGCAATGTGACGAGCACCACATCCTGAGTGAGGAGAGGCAAGTGCCCAAATCCAGAAGTTCCTCCTGCTAAGAAAGATCCTCCATGGATGTACACAATTACTGGCAACTTACTTTTCCTATCCTGTAATATATAAAATTATTATATTAGACTTAATATCATTACTATTAATAATATGTAGTAAATAGGAAAGATTCTCTATTAACTGCTTCAAAAATATTACCGCATTAAAAGATGTACATAAGAATGTGATGGTCAGTATATCAACTACACCTTGTTTAATAGGACCAATCAGCATACATAATCGTGCACTGTTTCACTATTTGTTGGAACCCAAGTTTCATTCCGATTCTGTATTAACTGGTTACAAATGATGTGTAGAAATGTTATATACCATGAAATATAGCATTCAGATAATTTAAACCTCGTTTGGAAAATTGCATTTATCTGTATGTAACTCATTATGTACATAACAGTAAATGAACAAAGATAATTATTATTTAGCAGTTAGACAAGTAGGAATTTGGGACACCTAGGTCGCAAAAAAATGTCCCCCTTCGATACCTACCACTGTCATATTCACAAGTTGCTCTGGACCTATTAATTATAAATAAAATATACATCACCAGGAATGCTGGTAAATATATAAATTTGTGGACTGTATATTGAAAATAATAAATGATTATATATATATATACACACATATACATAACAGAAGGAAAATATATCTTAATATCACTCACCAATTTGACTGGAGATTAATGTGTCATGTACATGACCCCCCCCCTCCTTTTGCCTACATTTATGAAATATTTACTGGCCAGAATTTAAACATAAATTAGACAGCTTATCTGAGGTTCCTGGAGTTGTCCTGTCCTGTCGCCTGATATCTCAAGTTATGCAGTAATGCACATCCAACAATTTCGTCTCCTATTTGAGAGGTGTCAACCCAATTTTAACCTCTAGAGCACGAAAAATTCTTCCCATAACACCAACGTTTCTAATCCAAATTCAAACAACAATGGCGACTCCTGCGCAGGCGCAGCTTCCCGTTTTTTATGGCATAAATATTATTAAATACAGTATGGCCATCTATTTACATATAACTACTGTATTTCTGGGAAATATATACAGTATTTTCCACACCTCGGTTATTCATTGGAAACTTATTAATATAGTGAGGATAAATCACTGTGGATACTAAATTCACTGAGAACTGAATGAGGATACTTAATTCACTGAGGATACCTCATTCATTAAGAACAGTCTATTGGGGATGCTATATTCAGGGAGTATACTTAATTCGTCCTTAGCATTAAAGGTATTAGATATATCCTACATCCTACTCTCAGCAACCCGCCGACAGCTCATTAATTATGGCGCTACTGGGCAGCAAATATAATAAATATCCTAGTCTCAGTGATGGTCCTTTGCATTATATTGGTAAAGCCTATAACGCCTTACATAGAGCTCTTAAAAGGTCAGAATTATTATTCACTGGTACCTGGGCTATTTATAGTCGATTATTTGTTACGATAATTCGTTTTCAATAGTTTCATGGGGAAGAAATGATGCTCTTAATTTGTATATATGAGAATACATGCGAGGATATTAACGACTTGGTCAACTTTTAGTGTAACAGTCAAAAAACAGTTCCCCCTGTCTCTCTTTAAGCTGAAAGACTTAATGATTCCGTGACAGGTACTTAGACCAACCTGTATTCATTAGCCAGTTTGTCACCTATCTGTAAAGGTGAACAAGATGTTTATCACCCTAAAAGGAGATTGCTGTTATCAGCTTTTCGTATGAATACCTTTCATGGCCACCGTCTCAGTGGATGAACACGAATTACACACATCTATCCCGTTTACCATGGGAAATATTAGTGTAAGATTACTGGGTAACATTATGTTTTGCATAATATTTTCCACATTCCACCTTAAACGGATCTCTAAGTGAGAGGTAAGGTCAAGGCCGTGGGAGATAATATAATCAAGATCAGGTTAAGGCAGTGGGAGATAATGTAAACTAGGTCAGGTTAAGGCAGTAAGAGATAAGGAGATGGCTAAGATCAGACCAACTTAGTTTCATTACTAAAATAATGACTAAAAAAAATGTAAATTACAGTGCCTCAGCTGAAAGCAATTACCTGCACCAGGTCTTAGTACTACCACTCTTCCTAAGTGCATCTCAGAGTACCTGGTAATACGGTGTGAAAACGTTGAGGTAGAGACAATCTTCACTCCCATACGTGTCCTGAGGACATACAGGAGCCCACTTGGAACATTCTCTCACTCCAGTCCATGACTCGGGTGCCACCGGAGCCTAATCATGTGGGGAGAGATGCACTTATTTACAATGTAAGATGAGAGCATGTATGTACACTTTGCAGATTACACAGAAAAGATTAACTATAAGACACGCTGGTTTCATCGGCCACACAGTAGTTGCAAGCTTAAATCTGTGCAATGTGCTATATATGAATGTTCATAATACTGATGTGCCCTTAAATATCACATTATTTAATTAAACCATTGTAAAAAGAGTACATTTGTCTAAAACCCATTGTACACTGTCTTAAATAAACATTTATTTAATTTCAAAAAGAATAACTTTATTTTCCTCAGGAGGCTGAACTAATAAGGTCTATGCAATTTATTGTGACAATTTTGCAATAAGGCGAAAATATATGATAATAAAACCACTACAGGTAGAAACTAGTATCATTATGACACATAACAAGGATTCTTCGTAATTATATTTAAGATAAATTCTAAACCGGTAAATACCATACAGCACCTGTTAAATAGAAGGTAAACAAGGTTGGTCCGAGGAAGGAGAGGGCAGCTCCAGTACCCTGGATAAAGAGCCATTTACTGGTACCAAGGCACCCTTTGTTTTGAAGGCCATAAACTTTTAACGAGTCTACTAACGAGAAAATAGAATAAAAGAAAGGCGCCTCTGCCACTACAATAAATTAAAAATGCAATAAGGATGACTGGACAGAACACTGGAAAAAAATAGTAGGTGGATTCCGACTCCTGCAACGAAGTGCACAGATTCAATTTCATCCTCGACATATGGAAAAGAGGATATATGGAAGTACTCGTTCTACATGAAATAAATTGGGTTAGTATTAACAATATTGGGAATGATAAGGAATATAAATTGTATAGAATGCCATATACTTTCATACTTATAATAAATATTTTTAAAGATTGTTTAGGTATACGAGCGGTGTTTCAGTGACGAAAAAAAAAATCAAAGTTTACCGATGTGATTTTTTTTATATAATTTATACGCTCTTATAGAAATATAAGGAAATTATAGCAGATATACAAGCCTATCATTTGAGATATATGGGCAAGGTTTATGTATGATTCTTTGTGACCCTCGTTAGAAAAAGAGTATGAGGATTGCAAAAAAAGCCTAAGCCAGGATATCACATTTACATGTAATCTATAAAAACATAACTGACCATAATTTTTAAAGGGGTGGACCGGTAAGCCAGAAGGCCTCGGTCAGTTGACCAAAAGCTCCAACGGCGGGTCATGATTTAAGACCCGCGTCAGGAAACACTTGTTCTGTTTCCTGACGAACCTTACCTAACTTAATGTAATCTGTTACCTGGGTATGCTTACTAGACCTCACCTTGAACCTGAGCTCTCCTACTGGTGGCTTGGCATAAGGAATTCCCCTGAAGAGATAGACGAATCTTCCCTTGTCCACCTCTTCCTTAACTCCGCGGATACGACCGGTGTTGAGCTGTATCTCAGGTCTGTCTGTCAGTGGCGGCAACGCATTTATAGAGACGGTGTGGAATTTGTCGACTGGTATAACCCACACTCCAAGCCAGAGTAGGAACACAACCAGACTAAATCCACCTGCCACATACGCCTTCGTTTTCATGATGCGGTCAAATCTTATCTGGAAAATATATATATGAAATATAAGATAATATAAATATATATATATATATATATATATATATATATATATATATATATGTATATAATATATATATATATTATATAATATATATATATATATTATATATATATATATATATATATATATTAATATATATATATATATATATATATATATATATATATTATTATATATATTATATAATATATATATATTATATATATATATATAATATATTATATATATATATATATATATATATAATATATATATATATATATATATAATTTATATATATATATATAAAATGTCGTGCCGATATGTAAAACTGGTCAATTAGCAAGAACTCATTTAAAATTTTTTTTATATTTTTATTTAAAAGGACACAGTACAAGATATAAATAAATAAAAGAACACAATTATTAACCGTTTGAAAATACAATGACCTACCATCAACCCCATAGCATACCACAAGTGTTACATTCATATTGTATTAAAAAATATACCATCACCGAACAATGAAACGAACAGGATAACACCTGCTCAGAAAAAACATCAACAAATTCTAAACCTACAAATCATGCCTATTATACAGTACAGTAAAACCTCCTTGCACAAAGTACACAGATGATATGATGCAGCATACGAAGGATAAAATCATACATTACAATTATTAAACAAAGGCTAACCCAACCCTACAATAAAATTACAAAGACATACCACATAATACTTCCCGCAAATAGCAGGAAACTCTTAACATAATAAAGAGCGCGAGAGCTCCAGCACCGAACAAAAAAATTAGCAAAAACCAAAAACTAAAAATTTTATGTCTGTGTCCACATAAATCCCCCACAACTCTGTACAATTAGACCCCTTGCACAAAGTGCACAATAAATATTATTTAACATACAAAAATTAAAATTATAAGAACATTAATTTAAACATTAGGCAAACCAAAGCCGACAATAAACATTACATTGGTACATATCACAATGAAACTCCCCAATAAACACTGGGCAGGAAACACCCTCAAGTAAGACATAACATCATATACGCAAGTATCAACCCATACAACTAACAAAATCCTAACATAAGGTATCAAAACTGTCTAGTTACAGGACATGAAAACCTTATCTCCCTATTTGAAACACTAGTACATCATTGCTGTTTTTTTTTTTTTTTTTTTTTTTTTCCAAGGTTTAGTCATCATGGTTTTAATTAAGGTTATCCTGTATGCAGTGAACATAACCCATAGATTCCAAATCCTCATTCACTCCCTTCCACTCTATTTTATAACCCTCCCACCATCCACACTACAAAGAAGCCTAAACCAACTCACCCTCATGCATCCCCCGGTAGGAGACCAACCCTTTGCCCGCCCTCTGGGTTCATGAGGGAGCCCCCCACAGTGAATTCCGGTAACCCTCCGAGAAGCATAACTACCCACCTCCCCCCATAGACTTGCCTATTCCTACACATAGTTCTATAAAATCTCGCTGCTAACGCTTTTATCCTCACTCTCCCCTAACCTCCCTCATCCCCCAGATACATGTAAATAATCCGTCATAACATACATTAAGGCTCTACCGACATCACCCGCGCCCCGGTTACATCCAACATTAAGGCCCTTAGGAATGGCCATTTGCCCCCCCCCCAAAAGTCCGATAAACTCTCACCATCCATAACCTCACCCCCTCCAAAGAGGGACAAAAATATACCGCATGAAAAGCCGTTTCGATGTCCCCACAATGCAAGCATGAGTCCTCTCTCACAAGACCCATTTTATACAACACATCCTAGAGGCAATATTCCCATCAGAAACCGATATACTAACTCTCGTACCCTTGCTGGTATTCTAAGCAAGCCAAACTTCCTCCATATGCCTATCCAGTCATATTTTGGATATACAGCAAGCCCCTGTAAAACACCCTTGCCCACCACAGCACACCACCATTCGTTTGACCTTTAACGTGGACACCTGTTTAACATGTAATAAAACCCTCAACATGTCCTCACAATACCTCAAATCCCTTCCACACCACCATCTTCGTGCATCCTCCATTACCCTACCTACCCTGACACCTCTGTTCCCCCAGTTCGTAATATCTTTGTTAATATATAAAGCCTTACTCTATGACCCAATGACATCAGGCCAAGACCCCCACGTCTCCTCTCCGTCATCACCACGTCCTTGCTCAACCAGTGCCCTCCCAAACCCCCACACATACCTAGAACCTTCCTCTGGATTTCTGCAATATCTTTTGCTCTTAAGGAACACCTCAGCCACTCCCACACCTTACTGTACACCAGAGAGTTGACCACTAAAACTCTCTGCTGTAATGTTACGTCCCTAGCCCTTAAGCACTCTAGCCTACCCAAAACCCTACTCGTAACTAATTCCGGAATTTATCTTCCTACTCTCCTGCACTTCCGCCATGTACCATATTCCACAAACCTTAATTCTGTCCACTACTGACCATCCCAACCCTCCCCCAAGCTCCCTCCCACCCAATCCCCCACCTCTAATAGTCTCGACTTCATAAATAACTCTCTACCCGTAGCGGCCCCAAAATCTGAATGATTCCACCAACTTTCCTTAGATCTTCCTCATGCCTTAACCAGCACAGTAGTATCATCTACGTACCCCACAATCCCCCCCCGCCCACCCCCCCTAATCCCGTGTTCATTCATCACCTCATCCACCAGCCCATAAAATGGATTCTGTACACAGGCAAACAATAACTGAGAGAGTGGACAGCCCTGCCTCAAACCTCTCTCCATCAGTACTGTGTCCCCCAACTTACCATTAATCTGTACCCTAATAACTGCTCCCTCATACAAGTTTGCACCCATCTCACCACCTTCTCTCCCCCAAACCCAACTGTTCCAAACAAACTTTAAGAAATCCCTATTCACACAATCATACGCATTAGCCCAATCTAAACCAAGTATTCCCCCTCCGGTGCAGTCCTCAATAAAATCCCTTATGTGACTATGTCCGTCCCTCATACTTCTTCCCGGAATGCCAAACTGTCCCCCATGTATCACTGATCCTAGGACCTTCTTCAGTCTATTGCCCAGAATTTTAGCATAAATTTTATATCAGCACACATTAAGGATATCGCTCTATAATCACTCAGTACTTTCCCTTCCTTCTTTTTCGGCACTAACACAACGATCCCGGTTTTCTGTGTTTTCCCCATCCTCCCACTGCGCCACATATAATTCAAGACTTCCACTAAACCATGCCTAATACACTCCCAATAAACTCTATAAAAATCATTCGGTATTCCATCTATGCCCGGCGTCTTACCCTGACTCATCCCGTAAACCGCCTCCTCCACCTCCTCCTCACTTATACTCCCCTCCAGCATTTCTTGTTCCTGTTGTCCTAATACAATATTACTCTGCATATCCCCAAATACCTTCTCACTTGCATCACCTCTGTTCCTCCTCCATTTCTCCCTAAACCAATAATCTGCATAAACACTAATGCTGTCCGTGTTAGTAAGGCCTTGACCCTCCACATAACCTCCCCCCCCTGCAGCGACCACTATGTGCGCTATGGTAGTCACCATTTGCCTTTCCCTAAATTTTCGCAGAACGTAACCTGACGGTTGATCACCCTTTAACACCTCCTCTAACCCCGCTCTAACTCTAATTGCGTTAAACCTGTCATTATGTAACTCTGCAATCCTACACCTTAAACCATCCACATCCCCTCTCATACCTTCCCTACCCCCCCCCGTCGTAAAACGCATTCAGTTGTCCCTCCAGATAGTTTTGCAAACCATACCGCCACCGTGCCTGTTCCCTACCACGTGCCCTGAAAAACTCTGCAATTCCTATCTTAGCCCTCACCTCCCACCAGTCAAGCAAATCCATCTCACCTTCCTACCATCCCAGAAATGTGTCCACCATTCCTCAAAGGAAGAGCCAACATCCCCCTCCTGCAGTAGCCTCACATTCAATTTTCCAATACCCAGCATATATACGTACTATACCATCCACCGCAGATCAGCTATCACCGCCCTATGATCCGAAAAACCGACATCGAAAGCTCTCACCTCTCCACACCTATCCCCTTCATTACATATCCTATCTAACCTCGCCTCATAATTTCCACGCATGAACGTGTGCTCCACCCCATACTCCCCCCTCCCCACCACATCGACAACTCCTACATCCCTTAACACATCCCTTAGCGCACCCAAGACACATCCCGCCCCCTCGGTGAGAACATCCCCATACCTAAATCACACAGTTCCAGTCACCCCCAAGAACAGTTATGGAAGGTAGACCCGCAAATAATACATCAAAACATCACGAACAAAATCAACTTTCACTCTAACATTGTTGCATGCCGGCATATTAAACTCCAATGAAACATACTCCCCACCCCCCAGTGCCCATCTTACCCTCACGACCCTCCCCCCTCCCCCTCCTCCCAACCCATGACACGCAATGGGCTGGTCTCCTTTACAGCCACTGCCACCCCTCCTTTTAATTGCAAAGCATTACTGACAAATAGGTTATAACCCCGCAAACGCAATTCACACCCTAACCTATGGTTATGCTCCTGCAAAAAACATACATCTACATCAAACCTTCGTAAAAACCATTCTAACCAAACCCTTTTGACCTCAGATTTAAGACCATTTACATTTATTGTGACACACTTGAACTTCCCAGAAAAGGCGGCTTACCTCTATGCCGCTGTGGCTTACCTCATTCGCCTTTCATGGTACCCATACCATTTTTATCATGTTTCCTAACCTGTCCACCAACCCCCCCTTGCCCTCCCCCACCGAGCTTCCCCGGCACACCCCCTCCCCTGGGTGCCTTCTCCCCCACATCTACCCATGACTTCTTCCCAGGTCTCTGCCCAGGTGTTAAAACCTCATCACGTCCAAGGCACCCGCCGTCCGTTTGCGTGAGCTCTCACTCACACACATATCTACCTCATGCGAGTCCTCCTGATGGACTTCCACCACCAC